AAAAATCACTCTTATTGGTGATTCTTCAAGTTATAGTTGGTAAATCATCCTAAAGTGCCTCTGTACATTGAATAAAAAGGATATGACAGAGTTTGAAAATATTTTAGACAAAACATTTTCTGCAAAACGTCTAGATTCAGAAGAAGCAACATCAGATATAAATTAGAACTTTAATAATGACTTGGTGCTTAGTGCTTAAATGAAGTCAGGAAACCTAGTGCTTAATGTTCAAAAAAGGTCAGAGAACCTAATGCTTAGTGTTTAAAACAGTCAGGGAACCTAGTGTTTAGTGTGAAAATAAGGTCTAAGAACCTAATGCTTAGTGTTTAAACAGTCTGAGAACTTAAAGCTTAGTGTTTAAAAAAGGTCAGAGAAACTAAAGCTTAGTGTTTAAAAAAGGTCAGAGAAACTAAAGCTTAGCTCTTAAAAAAGGTCCGACAACTTAGTGCTAAGTACTAAAAAAAAGGTCTGAGAACCTATCTTTTATGAATATATAAATAGTATCATAAAATAAAGTATTATACACTATGTTATGTATATATAAGATGAGAGCGGACTTGGATTCAAATGTAGATATGATTAGTTGAGAGGTAAATGTTATATCAAATAGAATATTTTAGTTGTTATGAATGAACACATTTTAACATATGTTCATGTTTAAATAAGTAGATCATGGGTTTTATCATTTTTTATTTTAGCTTAGATTTTGTTCTAAACTCTTGTTACATACCTTTATAAAAATGATAAACTTAAACTGACATTTTAACAGATTTAGAACAGACATTGTTTTCGATGTCTTGTTTAAAGTTTATCATTTATATGATCTAAAATGTGATTTATCGTTTGCTTAGATAGAAAATAAACAGAAAACATATCTCAAAATGACAAAACCATTAAAATAGGACGAAACACAATCACTCACAGAGTACCCGACTTGGTATAGTCAGATAAACATTGAAACTCCCATGTACATATAAATATATATTTCAATCTCGATCAGTATTCTGAGAACAGGTACATAACAGAACAAACAATGAAAATCCAAACTAGAAAAAGTATTACTTCTAAAATAACCTTATGATACAAATACCAACAAAACCATACATCATATCAAAGTAAACTCTGCAAGGACAATGTACTTAACTTTACTGTATGAAGTCATGCTATCCAACATTAATTAAAAAATGAAAAAAATAAAGGATTTGTAAAAGAATCACTATTGAATATAATGAAAATATTGGAACTAGAAATGGAAATGGAAATACATCTGTTTTCCACAAAGACGGCATATAAAGAATGCTTTCTGATACACGATCTACTAGACAATGAAAAAAAAAAAACCCAAATGAATGAGAGTAAATTTATTTATGCCAAAATATTTATGAAATGAAATCAAATGTTCCTACTTATAGTGGAGAAATCTTTGCCAATAATTCACGTAAAAGTCTCTCAATAATAATTAAAAATGGAACAACTCTCAGCTCACTGAAAGTTTAAGACGGTCACTTGCAATGATTTGCTTCATGTCGACCACGCTTCCTCTGTGAATTAATTATCAACTGCGGGGTAATATCAACAAATTATAAACTATCTAGCAAGGATGTGTCGATTTGGTGTAGACAGGGATGTCTAATATACGTCCTTGGTGTAGATTGATGTGAGTACATAGGTATATGAGAGACATTAATAATAGCTTTGTAAGTTAGCTTTCGGTTTTTGTCTCGCGTGCGACGAAAGTCTTAGTATGTGAGACATAGGTATTCCAATTCGGCGGTAGCGGCGACTGCATACATGTTTTGTTTGAATAATTAAGTCTGTCATATGTCCATTGTCCTTGACCTCATTTTCGTGGTTCAGTGACTGCTTGATAAACAAAATTGTTTTATTTTGTAATGTGAAATACTCACTTATAATGAGTAATAGAATAAATATATTTGATTTACGGGTTCACCTGACCTCGACCGTATTCCAGGGATCAGTGATCAAGGTTAAAGTTACGTGGTCAAGTCCGTATCTCAGATTCTATTAGAAATAGGTCAACTATATTTGGTGTATGGAATGATTGTAAGGTGAACATGCCGACTGACAGGTTTCATCTGACCTTGACCTCAATTTCATGGTTCATTGGACAATGTTAAGTTTTTGTGGTTTGGTCTATATATCAGATACTATAAACAATAGGGCCACTATATTTGGTGTATGGAATGATTGTCAATTATACATATCCGTCTTGCAGGTTTCATCTGACCTTGCCCTCATTTTATTGGTTCATTGGACAATTTTAAGTTTTTGTGGTTTGGTCTATTTCACAGATATTATAAGCAATATGTTATTTATATATAGTGTATTGACTTATTGTGAGGTGAACATGTCTGTCTGGCATATATATTTTTTATATGAACTTGACGTCATTGTGATGATTCATTGGTCAATGATAAGTTTTTGCAATTTTGTCAGTTTATCAGATACTATAAGCAATAGGTCAACGTTATTTGGTGTATGGAATGATTGTAAGGTGAACATGTCTGTCTGGCAGGATTCATGACCTTAACCTTATTTTCATGGTTCATTGGACAATGTAAAGATTTTTTGGTTTGATCTGTTTCTCATGTACTATTCACAATAGGACCACTAAATTTGGTGTATGGAATGATTGCAAGGTGTATATGTCTGTCTGGCATGGTTCATCTGACCGTGACCTCATTTTCATAGAACATTGATAATGTTAAGTTTATGTAATTATTGTATTTAAACCTTCATATTACAGACTTTCAACACGAATTCATGAAGTAAAACAGGCGCGACATTTCAGCGTGTGCACTATTGTTTTTTTTGTATCTAGTTCCTGTACTGACGTATATCGCATTTGTATATATATATCCCATTACTCTTTTTTTCCAATTGAACAAAAAAGTGTAGCTATTTTGCTAATACACTGACGAAAGTAAAAATAAAATCACAAATAAATATCAGTGCACAATCTGGTTGTCACCAGGAGCTTCTAACATACGACAATATGTCGTCAGGTTTTATTTGAAAATTAACATGTGTAGTTCTGATCAAACATGTTTGGTACTATTACATAATTTCTTTTACACTACAATTCAACATGCATTTAGTAACTATCAATATCCGATTCTGCAAATCCAAATAAAAAAGTTAAAAGCTTACCATGAAGTTTTTCATTGAAATGAACAACCTGGGGATAATATTTGATATTTAGTAAATATTGATAGTATATCATCCAACAAGAAATATATCATACCAAGTGGCGATAAACATCTTTAGTTAGCGCAAGACAGACAATGCCATGGCCAGGAAAATAAAAAATTGTAGGTAGCACATAAAAAAAAAATATGAAATAATCAAGCAATTGCAACATGGTCCAACGACATCAGAAGGAGTCTCCAAAAATGTAAGCAGTTTTTTTCCACAAACCACGGATATGTCTTGTCATGTCTTGTCTATGTCGTAACCTCAACTCCTCCTTTCTGTGTTAATGCCACAATCGAATGTGACGCATGACCGGAATTTACCTGCAATCAGAAATTGAAGGTCAGGAACTGCATACCTTTCTTAAGCCTAAGTTTTTGATTGGGTTCGTGTTACAAAATATATTAGTTTTCTGTACAAGTGTTATGTTGTCTGTTGTTTGTGTGTATTCATTTTATTCTCTTTTGGACCTGATGTTGCCTGTCCTTTACTACTTACGGTTTTGATTGTACCATTGGTATGATGATCTGGAAGGGGTTTAATGGTCTTGATGGACAAAAATAAGAAAGGACCATAGATTAGAAAAAAGAGAAAAATTGGCAAAAAGAATAAAGAATGGAGAATAATACTGTTCTACGATTTAAAGAATGGAGAATTATGTGGCAAAAACAATAACAGAAAAATATCCTAAAAATTAAGGATTGCCCATCCAGACCCTCTGGTATCTCATCTGCTTTACAATGTTCATGTTAAATATCCAAGCAGCATCTTCATGTGGAGTAGATATTCCCAAAGTAAGAATGTATTTCCGATTATGAATGTTTTAAAATAGAGTTGATATACATCGACGAATATTAGAAGGTAACACGCTTTTCACATTTATTTGGATATATGAATATAGATTTGGAGTTTCTTTTCTAAATTAAGATGGACGTCTTTCTTTTCAATTAACTCAATGCAATATACATATTTGATATGCTATAGCATGAGATAGAATAGTATTTTACAAAAAGAGATGATTTCAGCTTCCAAATTGTGAAGCAAAATTCCAGCAGCGCCTGTATACGGAGTATATATCTCCTAGATGATACGATATTCCAGGGCTTGTATTTCCTATCATGATTTCCTTGATAGAGGTTTGCTGCTCACAAGGAAGTTATTAAACCAAGAGTTCCAAGTGATGAAGTTGAAATCACCCCTTCGTAAATTTTACGGACGCCATCACGAGTTGGTTAACCGTTATGGAATATCCGTTTCAAAGATGATAGTGGATATGTTCCAAATGTCATAACTACAATCCCGTCCCCTTTTCCCCGAATGTGACCTACTGAATAAGACTTATTAACGGGTTTGCACTAACATGAGCAACATGACGGGTGCCACATGTGGAGCAGGATCTGCTTACTCTTCCGGAGCACTTGAGATTACCCGCAGTTTTTGGTTGGGTTCGTGTTGATCAGTCCTTAGTTTTCTATGTTGTGTTTTGTGTACTTTTGTTTATCTGATGGTTTTTTTCTTTTTAAGCCATGGCGTTGTCAGTTTATTTTCGACTTATAAGTTTGAATGTCCCTTTGGTATCTTTCGCCTCTCTTTTCCAGAGGTACCAAAAGAATAAAACTTTGAAGCTGTTAGAGAATGATCATGAAAAGTGGTAAATATTGACACTTTATATAAATATATATAGCAATTTGAATTTACATTTTTTCACTTTTATGTCAAATAATCCATCTGGAGGTACACACAGTATTCAATAATCAGGCTTTTAAAATAAATAACATAAACAAATGAAATATTGGCACTTTTTATTGTCATTACATAAGTGTTAGTAAGGAAGACTCAAAGTTGCTCTGAATTTGTGTAAAACTATCCTTCCTGAGGTACCAAAACACACTCATTAATCGAATAACATTACAAATATGTTTATGTAGATATAGGAAGATGTGGTATGAGTGCCAATGAGACAACTCTCCATCCACGTTACAATTAATGGCATACATGCAAATAAAAAGAATAATGACAACACTGTACATGATACATCATAAGAAAAATAAAAGTAAATGATATAATATACACATGTACTGATAATGCAGTTGTTGAGTCCGTTCTCCCTAGTGATCATGACCTTATAGTGAACAGAGCAGTCTACTGCATAATTGACTGAACTGAACGAAATACAACCAACCTATTTAAATTATTGATATCAAAATACGAACATGTATTTTTAGGCTTCAAAGTTATTTTCTTTAATTTAACATGGCTCAGTTTCATAATTCTTTAAAATTTACTATAATTATATAATTTAATAATTACTTTCTTTTAAAAAAATACTTTTTTAAAGAACAACTTTTTATAATTTTCTCCTTCATTTGTTTTTATTTTATATTTTACTTTAATAACGTAAATTTCATATATATATTTCTATAAGCAAACATTAAATAAATCAGGTATATGAAGGAATACTTTGTGCATGGATATCTGTGTAGAGAGTTATAAATCTAAGCATTTCTAAAAAGAATTTTTTTTTTTTATAATTAAAAGAACAGTCTGAGCTGAACAAACTGTCAACTGACAGGAAGGCAAAAACTGACTAGCTATATTTGGAATAATTTCGTTTTGATTGGTCTTGAATCCTCTTGTGTCGCTAGTTTTCGCCATTTGGTTTCGGTACAGCATTTTCTCTAAAATAGAAAAGAAACAATGAGCATTATGATAACATTTGTTTTTCAAATCAATCAAAGAAATTCGACGTTTGATGTTTTCAATAACTTTGAATCAAAGATGTGATGTAAATTTTGATCAACGCTTAAAGTTTGATGTACTGTTAAGAACTAATATACTCTTATGTATAAAAATGTCAAACCCCGTAAGAAAAAAGATAATTTCAGAATCTGTGACAAATGAGACGGAATAATTTTGAAATTATGAATTTTCCCCATTATAGCAGCAATACACCGACATCAAGAGCTTGCAGCTGCTACTCAGACTTTATAAAACGTTACCAGGGTCTGAGCAGAAAGTTGATGAACCAGGGTTATGTCAAAGAACGTCTCGTCCTTTTTATAAAAAAATTAAACGGAGGATACCAAGACATGGTTGATAAATATTCAGTATCAACTTCGCAAATAATACATGATTGTCTTGAAGTATACGATTCTCGGTAATGACCTTATTTATTATATTAATTACGTGTTATAGTGGTCCTTTTTTTGTGTTCTATATTTTTAACTTTTAATGTTTAGTCCATTGTTGGTAATATCCTTTACGCATGGCTCAGTATTTATACATCCTGCCATTGTGTTATTGTGCTATGGTCATTTTTTTAAATCTTGTCTTTCCTTTTTTGCTTTTATGCTTTGTCTATTGAGTGTTTTCATGCCATTTTGTTTTTCTTTGTTGACATAGTTGTTTGCTATCATAGTGATTAAGATAATCACAAAATGTTGACTGCTGTACCCCAATTTTTGACATTTTACCTATTATGTCTATTTGTGTTGCTCACACATTGTTGTCAATATAATGGAACTAACGCGACTGTAATACAAGTGAGAGGTTGAGCTAGCTATAAAACTAGGTTTAATCCAGCATTTTCTACATAAGGAAATGCCTGTACCAAGTCAGGAATATGACAGTTGCTTTCCATTCGTTTGATGTGTTTGAGCTTTTGATTTTGCCATTTGTAAAGGGACCTTCCACTTTGAATTTTTCATGGAGTTAGGTATTTTTGTTATATTAATTTTTACAAATATAAGCATCCTAACTAAACTGGTTGCGAGACCAATCACATAATATCACAACTTGAAAATACAGACACCCTCTCCCACACCCTAAATCGAATTTACCATAATATAGATGGGAAGTTCTACTGGTCAATACCACACAAAGAACATACATTTTTCGTCTTAGAATAAAACTCATATATTACATGAATGGTAATGTTCTTTGATTTTCGAGTGAGTTAACCTCTGTTATATTTAATGGACTTGATTGCATCAACAGTTGTGTTTAGTAAATGTAATATCCTGTTCAACCCTTTATCGCCCTTTGCCGTTTGCCATACGGAAGAATGGATGGAGCTTAGACCAGTGCATGGGCAACCATTAAGTTGATCATGGCAAATAAACAATAGCATTTGGTGATGTCATAATCAAAATAAATAGAGGACGGAATAGTGGCTTCGACAAGTTTAACATATCTGTTTTCATCTGTAATACAGATTTTTTGTCAATCAAATCATGAAAGTAAAAAAACTTTTGAAGAGCTTACTTCAGGTGTACCAAGAACCCTTGTTTCAATAGCTTTTTGTGAAAGAAGCAACCAATTACTTTTACGAAAATTACGAGTGACAACACATGATCTGAATAACTCCATTAACTTGAAAATATATACTTCATATGCAGGTGCTGATTGAATATTGTTACAATAAAATCGAAATTTCTCAGAAGGAAAATTAAAATTGTCCCTATTGACGTTAAGTTACGTTCTCAGCCGTTTCTTATTTTCAATATTTAGATTTACGTCAATATATTAAGCAGTAATTTACTGTATACAAGTATATGGTATTCTTTATTTCGAAATCAGTGGGACCGATACGATCTCCAAACTTTGAATTCTTCAATGACAGACCTTATTTTTAAAGCGGAGCGTGAAGTTAATATTTGATACTTTGTTCTAAGACTTGTAATGCTTCCTTAGAACTTTCTACATAAAACAAATGAAGTAATAAGTCCACAAGTAGAAGATACAGTTCATTCTAACAGAAATGCCAACTGATTAGTGAAAACACATGCATCTATAGACGTAAGAAATTAGTTGTAAATGAACAAAACAAGTAGAGATTTTTCGTAAAACTTTTTTTTTTTAACCAAATCCCATTCCTGAAACAACATCTTAGTATGTATGTTAGTCTTTTTGTATTATGAAATAAATGGACTTACACTTTGAATGGGTCTTTAGATTTAGAATGCAGAATACTTGTTTCAAGGGTAGAGAATCAAACGTTTTTTTTACTTTGACAGAAGAAGACAGACTGTTATTAGATGCACTGTAACATATCTGTGGAAGGTTTTAGTATCCACATCTTATTGACATTGCCGCCAAAGATTGATAGTTTCACAATGACTCCTAATTAAGAAAGAGTTTATATGGCATTTTACAGACCCAGCAAGATAACTTTGTGAAGGAGACTTATGTAATGTTGGTGTCCAGTACCGTGAAGGAAGATTAATTTTTTCACCTTTGATTGAATTAGCAAAGGAACATACAAAAGACCTATGATTGTTCACGATTTTCTTTCTGCCATGTTAGTAATGAGGGTTTTAAAATTGATAAGCAATACCTTATCCCCTTATAAATCTGTTTTATAATGTAAATGTAATGTAAAATATAATACACGGAAGTTTTAAAAGAACATAGCTTAATTGATATTTAAACCAAAATCTCGAGTAAGTATAGTTTTATCTTTTTTGTTATCTATTCAGCTATCTAAGATCAATAATTGTTTATCCCAGATATTAATTCGACTATGTGTTTTGTTGTTTATTTTCTTAATATCTTTGACCGATGGTTTGTCCAATGTTTTGATTTAGTAAATTGTTACTTCGATTGATCGTAAGATATCGACGTGTTCATTGTCAATGATAACTTCGGGCAAACGAAGATGTTTGTATACACAATCAACATTTGAAATATGAGAGATTTTGAAACAAGAGTTCAACAAAAAAAAGAAGAATTGGAAGTCATTTCTTAGCAAACCGTCCGTAAAATTGGAAACTCAATTGGGCAAAAAAAGTTGCCGGTATAAAATCTGAGATGATCTTAGTTTATATGCTCCAGAGTCCTCTAACATTTAATCAGAAAAGCGTTTTCTTAATTGAGGTCTCGGACAAAGATGCAAACATCTTGGTAAACAACATAGATATCTCGGCCGAGCAAATCAAGATTGACATTTAAAAAACAAAAAATGATAAATCGAGAAATCGGACACAAAAATGTTAAATGTGTCCTTTCAAGTTTTTTATTGAATCATATACCCATACCTTTGGAGGGAATACAATCACTGTATAATGCACTTGGAATCTAAAAAACAAAACATTGAAATACAATTGATAAAATACAAAAGTTGTAACATGCTCAACAAATATGTTCCATTTGAAACGCATTCCGTAATTATTTCAACAGAACAGAACTGGGTTTTATGTTTTTTACTAAAGAAAGGTTTCGTATAATTAAGGAAATTGGATATTTTATGTTATTTCAGTTTATTCTGCGTTGTGTTTATTTCTCAAAATAAGCTGTTATTGCTGTTATCGTTTCTTATGTGTCATTTTTTTGTACAAAGGTGAATCATTCTCAATCACCTCAGACAGATTCAAATATTCAACCATAGACAGTTCTTCTAGTTTAAATATCTTGTAAATTAATTTAAGAATGCAAATGGCAGGAAGAAAAACAGTCTCATTTTTAAACAAAATGTTTGCACATTAAATATTTGTTTTGACATCACAAATATTTCATATTGACTTTGTACCATTGCAGATAAAGATAAAAAAAAATTCAATGTATTTAGATGTATAATCTAATATTACAAGGAGTACATATGTAAGGTGATGGTATTGCATCTTCTCCTTAATACATGTTACAGTTTTGTTTTTATATATTTAACCTTTTTAGAAATATAAATGGCTGGTGAACACAACTGCAATCATCAAATAAATGTTTTCAAGCACCCGGTAGTCCATAGATGGACATAGCTCGGCATATTAAAGGTAATTTACTTAATGCCTTTGGTATACACTTTGTAAATTGATTTCCTGTCTTGGTTTTTGGTACCCAATTTGTACGATAGTCCAACTCAACTAGAATATTTATTTTTAAATTTGTATTTTACCTAATGTTAAGACATGCACACATACCAATTGTAAGATTGCAGTGACTGTGTGTTAGTAAAGAGAGAAATTGTGAGTGAAACACAAAACGTCGCTAAAGACATGGGCATAGCGAACAAGTTTTGATATATAAACACCGTAAGAAGTAAAGGCGATATTCATTAAACAGACTAAATAACAAAAGCAATAGTGAGCTTTTCAAATCTACTAAATAACAATATATATGTATATACGTATACATGACATGTGAGTGTGAATAGCCTTTTTTTTCAGTAACAATATTCTTGTATAATATATATGAATTAAAAAAAACAAACTGGATAGTCTTGTACATATTATTTAATGTTTACCGTCAAAACCATAGTCAAGTAGTTGTTGTTGGGGTATTAAATAATCCTGACTACCGAAAAACAAATAAACGATAAAAAAAAACCTCCACTATTACCGACATGGTATCATTCTCTGCAGAGTTCAACGTCAAATCTCGTACATCGACCAAATCACAACTTTCAATTTCAACAATCAATTCTCTCCACATGTTTTTCTTATTTCAATATATATATATCATGTATATGTAGCTTAAAGGACAACTTACAGAGTTAATTGTTCAAAGCAAACAGTAGCCCGAACAATCCGGCAGAAATGACCCATATAATACTTAGGAAATCTATTTGTAAAGTGGAAAGACATAAATCTTCACGTTTCAGTATACTTAAAAATGTTGCAACCTATGAGGCTAAAATGAAGGCTTGATATACGATCTGCAGTAAGTTATTGCAACCGACACATTCCATAAGATGATGAAGTTGTGGGGATAAAAGGCAACACACCAATAGATGTACAACAGCGGGACTGATACATGAACTGACTTGGAAATTGACGAGGTCCCTGTCGAATCACCCACTCAGACAAGGAATTCAGACTCTATAAATGAAAATGGTACTTTTATTCCTTAAAGGAAATACACAGAAATTCTATTCATATTTGTATACAAAAGGTCATACAGGTAAACCAGAGAATGTATATACTTTTGTGTAGCATATTAGATATTCTTTTGTACATAGAATTAAAACAATATGAAGATATTAATTTTCATACTCGTTTCTGTATAAGTAAAGGCAACAGTAGTATACCGCTGTTCGAAATTCATAAATCGAATGAGAAAAATAACAAATCCGGGTTACAATATATCATACATTTCACAACTGTATATACCACTTGTCACCGAACGTAAAGCAAACAGCAATCAATGAACCTATTTAACACCTTTATAAATTACTGTATATTCCCCAAAAAAATTTCGTAGATTTATTATTGTAATTGTTGAACAGCAAACACAAATGCAAAATAGATAATCTATCTAATGCAATTCAATTCGAGGATTCATTTAAAATAAATATAATGAGATGTGGTATAATTGCCAATGAGACAACATCAACTTAAGTTCAAATGAAGTGGATGTAAGCAATGATAGGCAACCGTGCGGCCTTCAACAATGAAAAAAACTCGTACCGTATAGTCAGTTATTAAAGGCCCCAACATGAAAAATATGAAACAATTCAATTGTGAAAACTAATAGTCCAGTCATTCTATGGTTATACCTCAAACTAATTGCAACAGAAATGTTTTTTGCGGAATTCGTGAGAGATATAACGTATAAGAAACATATTAAAAATCGAGAAAAATCGAAATAGGGGAAAGTCGTCAATTTTAGCGAAAAAAAAAATCAAGATTTTACTTCAAATATTATGGAAAGATATGGCGCCCGTAGATTGAGAAGACGATATGGGAGACAACTCGTAATGGTCAACTGCAGACGACGCATCTAGTGTCCATCCTTTTCATTCTGGTAAGTAAATATAAGACTTATATATAAAAGTTTTATATGTATTTAGCACTCTTAAGAGTAAAAGCTGTCATGCAAGGTATTTTTGGTGTTTTTGAAAGGCGTAAATACACGGGAGACGGCAAAAAGTAGTACAGGGCAGAAATGAGTTCATTTCGGTTTGCCGAGGTCTCTAAACCACAAATCACGTGTAAAACAGCTCTGCTTTTTATATTTGGACTAAATTATATACATTTCATATATAAATCGCCCCGTAAAAAAAAAATTATAGTCTACTGCCAGGAGTTGCTGACGAAAAAAAAAAGTATGGAACGCCGTTAGTGCCAAAAAAGTTACACTCCAACAAAATTGAATTCATGGAAAAAGGAAGTTGTACTGATAATAAAATTTAAAAATCGATACAGACAAATTGTTTTACCAAAATAAGATGAATATTTATTAATCAAATGATAGAGGGACATTAGAATTGTCCAGTTTAACAAAGCTACCATTATACAATTGAACTGAGCTACCATGCACCAAGCAGGGGAAAGGCACTCTATCAAACTTCATATTACATTTTGGGGCAATTTTTATTACTGTTGTTTTTCTGTGCATACATCAAGCAGGTATTTTACCCGAAAAGGAGCAGGGGCGCCACTTAATACTTGTATTAATGTCATATGTTTCTGTATAAGAGTTAACATGATAAAGTAATAAAAACACACTGAACTACGGCGGAAAGTACAAATAGAACCAGAATATCGACAAATAGAAACTATTAACAAACTGAAAAAAATTACTGTTGTAATCCTTAATCATAATGAGTACAGACACTACATATGCATTATTTTATAGTTTTAAAAAAGTCAACATAGATCTTTTTTAATATTGTATCCAAAACAAATCTTTTGATAAAATAATATGAAAGCAAAACCAAATTAATTGAATCTCGTCTTAACAGTTTTATCATTTTTTTAGGTAATGATGGATGCTTGTGTTTTCTGTCGGGTGTCTCTAAACAATGGTGAAGAAATAACACAACTAAGAGAAAAAGGTTGTAACACAGTTAATAGGACCAGCCAAACCAGAAATGATACGATCGACACAACTCCAGGACAAAAAGTTCAACAGAAATGTCGACGTGATTACATAAACGCTAATTCAATCAAGAAGGACTTGCGAGACAAGAATTTATCGACAACCGAGTTAAGTCGTGACTTACGCTCTTCCACTCCTGTTTTCGAGTTCCAGAAGAACTTTTTATTTTGTGGAAATTATGCAAAATTTTCGGAGAGTAAAAGGGGAATCGACGTGTTTCCTGTCAGGACAACAGATTTGTCTAAGACCCTTAGAAACATCTGCAAAGAAAGAAATGATGAATGGTCCGAAAACGTTTTGAGGAGGCTAAACATTGCGCCATCCGATTTGCACGCTGCATATGCAATATACCACCAAACATGTAGTGTTAATTTTAGAACTGGTAAGCAAATCCCCGTTTCGAAGCAAGCAAACAAAGAGGTCAAACGAACGACACCAGGACGACCAAAAGAAGATTTATCAGAGAAAGCTTTCCTGCAAATAGTTAGACAATTAGAAGAAACACAAGACGAACCTGCAACCGTAAGCGATCTTGTTCAGGCTATGGAAGAAATTTGCGGAGAGAAGGCGTATAGTGTGGTGCACATGAAAAAGAAACTGCAAACTCATTTTGGATTCGATATCATCATCACGGAAGTAAACGGAAAGTCGAATATAGTCACATTCAGGAGAACAGCATCATCTATACTGAACGAATTTTACAGAAGACCATCATCTAAGAGTCCAGAAGATGAAAAGCTGTCGATGATAGAAACAGCAGCTAAGCTAATAAAAGCAGATATTATGAGCCTTAAAGATTCAAAATATATATATCCGTCTTCTGTTGATATAAACTCACAGCAAAACACTGCCTTTGTCCCAGATTCGTTACGAACTTTTCTAAGTGCATTATTTAGTCAAAACGACTCTACTGTTAAAGTTGCATCTGTTGGTCAAGCTATAATTCAGGCAACCCGACCAAGAACACTTATTGCACCGCTACAAATTGCCCTCAGTGTACAAATGCATCATCACTTTGGATCAAGGTTTTTGTTGGACACTTTGAACACTCTTGGTTTTGCTTCTTCTTACACAGAGGTTCAAAGGTTTGAACTTAATGCTGCTGCTGCTCATGACAGAACCGACACACAATTTGGGAATGACACTTTCGTTCAGTATATAGCTGATAACGTAGACCATAATCTGCGCACTTTAGATGGTCATGGAACATTTCATGGTATGGGCACGATTGCAGCTGTAACTCCAGGATTTAGACTTGACAAAGCTGTCCCTAGGCTGTCTCCCACACTAAAGGAAGTCTCTGACTTAGCGAAGATTAACATAGATTATTATTAGATGCAATATAAACAATCGTTACAGGCAGAGTTCGCAACCATGAATTATGAGCCAAATATGGTCGATACAACGTGGAAGTTAGACCTTCTGTCAAACGTATGCTGGCCTTTGACATGCAACCGACCTAGTTGGTAAGCCATTATGCACAAAGTGATGGACGGTGATTATCCAGGAAAATCATCTGTTGTTTTTTTGCCAATGATAGACATGAATCCTAGTGATCTCACATGTATAAATTCAACACTTAACTTCATAAGCAAGCAAGCAAAGGCTCAACATTGTTCACCTATTTTGACATTTGATCAACCCCTCTATTGGAAGGCAATGAACATAATTAAAGATGAACCATTGGATAGTCCTTTAAAGTCAGTTATCTTGAGACTTGGAGGCTTTCATTTAGAAATGAGTTTTGTAGGCGGCATTGGTCACTTGATGGAAGGATCTGGAATTACTGAGCTACTTGAAACAGTGTATGCACCAAATGCAGTAACTCATATGACTAGTGGAAAGGCTATTGCACGAGCAGTAAGGGCACATTTCCTGGTAGACACAGCTCTCACGTCAATAATCTTGTCACACATATACGGCATACCACTTCCAGATCAAATCTAAAATGAGAGTGGAACCAATGATATTAATCCGGCAAATTACATAAATACCGACATTACTGATATGAACGCTGAGGACCTTTCGGATGAGTTGCATGAAGCAGATTCGATGTTGGATGAACTACTGAAAGGGGACATATCCGTCGAAAAAGCTTGCGAAAATGTTTTATTAGATCAAATAAAATCTAGGATAGATAACTTTCGGGTGTCACACAAAAGTTTTCGTACTTCACAACTATGGTTCCAGTATATGGATATGATAGATATACTCCGTAGATTCATCAAAGCTGAAAGGACTGGTAACTGGGGTCTACATTTACAAACAATCAAAGACATGCTTCCGTATCTTGCAGCTTCGGGACACAATCTGTATGTCAAATCATCACGAGTATACTTACAACAAATGCAGAACTTGAAAACAACACATCCTGACGTATTAGCTTTTCAACAATCAGGTTATCATGTTATAAGAAGGAGTGATACATTCTGGGCAGGTCTTTCTTCTGATTTGGTCATAGAACAGGTTTTAATGAGAAGCTTAAAGACGACAGGCGGTATGACTCGGGGCAGAGGTATGTCAGAGGGTCAGCGAGCCCAATGGATTTTATCTATGCCAGACTGCGCGGAAATGAACAATGCTTTGCAAGAGTTTACTGGAGTCAATTATGGAACAAGTGACCAACATAAAGAAGGTGGGGATTCAAGGAGATCGAGAGACTGTCAAGATTTGAAAACATTTTTATCGTTTCTTATCAGCAGAAATCCTTTTGTAGAGGAAACCAGTTTGCGAAATATAGAAACAGGGGTCTCGGCGGACAAATTTGTCAATGTTGATAATTCGAAGGAATTAGGGATTAAAATTCTAAAGTCCATGGACGGACAGAAAATTGATGAATTTTCATTTAAAAGGAAAGAACAGGCCATTATCTTAAGTGCAAAATCGGCTATCAAAGTTGATGATGATGTCATTACTGTTGATTCACAGCTTCTCTTTCAGCGCTTTCTTGCTGCATCAAATGGCATATATGAAGATCAGTCTGAAATATTCACCTATGAACTATGTAGTCATCCCAGTTCAATGTTTGATCCAAATGGGCTCATGCGAACAGCACAAAAGTCTAGTCTTGCAGATGCTATTTGGGGAAAGGGCGATTGTTGCGCATTTGAAATGAACGAAAACGACAAAACTCAGTATATTATTGATGGCGGCTCTCTTCTCCATCGTATACACTGGCAAAGCGGACTTTCTTTCGGTGAAATTTGCCAGAGGTACGTTGACAGCGTAGAACGGAAATACAGTAATGCTATAGTTGTATTTGATGGATATGCCTCGGGTCCAGATACTTAAGATGCCACACACCAGCGACGCACCAAAGGAATCATAGACACAAAAGTTTCATTCACGGATAGAACTCCTTTCAAATCTAAAAAAGAAATATTTCTAGCAAACATCGAAAACAAGCAAAACTTCATTAATCTCTTGAGTGCAAAGATGGTAGAAAAGGGAATTGAAACTAAACACTCAGATGCCGATGCTGATGTATTGATAGCCCTTACTGCAATCGAGTCATCGAAAACAAAACTAACTGTTTTGCTAGGAGAGGACACTGATCTTCTGGTACTCCTTCTTTGTCATGCGGACGTTACATCAAATTCGCTGATATTCAAATCTGGCAATGTGTCAAAACTCAACACAAATATTAAAATATGGGATATTTTGAAGACCAAATCGCTTCTTGGTGAGGAGGTATGTACACTGTTACCTTTAATTCATGCTATCAGTGGTTGTGACACAACTTCAAGAATGTTCGGTGTCAGTAAAGCAGCGACCCTAAAGAAATTCGGAGAACAAGACTTTGTAAAGGCTCAGGCACAGTTATTATGCAATGCAAACACAAAGGATAATGTAATTTCTGCTGGTGAAAACATTATTTCCTCTCTATATAATGGTGCTCCATATGAAGGACTGAAAGTTCTTCGCTACAGAAAGTTTGCTGCAAGAGTATTGACAAACAAAACGTGCGTTCAAATTCATACTTTGCCGCCAACATCAAATGCGGCTTCATTTCATAGCCAGAGGGCTTATCTTCAAATGAAAATGTGGATGGACAGGGACAATTTAAATCCATGTGAATGGGGTTGGAAAGTCGCTAATGGAAACCTTGTTCCAGTTAAGTGTACGATGGACGCAGCTCCCTCTAAATTACTCAACATTATTCGATGCAATTGTAGGACAAACTGTGACACTAAAAAATGTACTTGTAGAAAAAACGGACTTGAATGTTCAGTAGCATGTGGCGAATGTAAAGGAACTGGTTGTACAAATTCGAACAAAACAGTTGACATGGACGATTAAGTGACAATTAACTTCAAAAGATCTATGTAGAATACACAAAAAACGTAATTAGCATAGTTAAGGGGTTTGGGTAAAAACTACTACATGTTTTTGTTATCCTATAACGTAATTATTTTGGTTTCAAGAAAAAGTATCATACCGGTCAATCGGTTTTTATTGTTGTTATAAGATCTATTGACTTGACGAATTTATCATTATTTGATCTCCCTCAATATTTAACATATACAAAGTAAATTTGAAGACTCATAATCTTATTTGAATTTGGGTTTTTTAAGAAAACATAAATTCCCAGTTTTTATCGATTTTTGGCTAAAAATCCAACATTTTCACCCAAAATTTTCAACTTCCTGTACTTTGAAGTTCATCATATTTTCAAAAATTCATTGTTGTAACAAGATCTATTGACTTGATTAAAAATTATGTACGTTGCTATTTTAGTTTTTTAGTAACGGCAAATTTCCAGTTTTCAGCAATTTTTCAACAAAATCCAAGGGTTTTCACCCAAAATTAACAATTTCCCTTCATCCAAACTTTCTCGATTTTTCATATGTTCAACAGTACACCAAAATCAGCTAGGAAAACTAGAAGAACATTCTGTTGCAATTAGTTTGAGGTTTGGTCATATTTTGGCTAGAATGACTGGACTATAACGGCCTAATTTGATTTTAAAAACAACTTGCGAAAAACAAATATGACAAACATAAACCAACGACAACATCTGAACTACAGGCTCCTGACTTGGGACAGGCACATACATAATGATACTTAGTTAAGATCTTAGAGTACTCGAAGTTACTGATAGCTAGTACATAACCAATAACAATTAATAAAAAATCATGTTTCTAAGACTTAGATATCAATCAGTACACATCCAACATGCATTGGATTTAGTGTAAAGAACTCATTTACAGTCGGAGAAAAACATGACCTTGTGCTATGCCAAAATATAGGTATCGACAGATTGTAGTAAAGGTTTTAAGTAATTTGTGGTAACGAAATTCCTGACTTAATAATTTACCAGTAATACATAGATTACTCTCACTGAAATCCAAAACGCCGCTACATACACGGGCATAGCGAACGAGTTGTGATATATAAACACCGTAAGAGGTAAAGGCGATATTCATTAACGACTTTATTAACAAAAGCAATTGTGAGCTTTTCAAATCTACTAAATAACAATATATATGTATACATATATACATAAGAACAACTCAATGTTAAACATATAATGCCTGGTTAGACAATTAGGATGTCAAATAAATGATAAATGCACAGATTCAGTCATATGTTAGGAAAACAGTATGCACAATATAGTATACACCTTAAAACATAGCATAAGTTAGAATTAAGCACAACCGATAATAGCAACAAAAAGCTATACAAATTAAGCAGTCAAACACAATAATTTTTTTTTCAAAGCACTAACATTAAAGCACTAAATGCATGTACTGCATGAGCTGTTATTCGGAATCTAATTTTTTTAGTTTTTTTTTTAATTTGTCAAAAGGCAGCTCATTCGTAATATGTGTAGCATAAATAAAAAACGATTTCAAACCATACCTAATAGTTCTGGCTCTTGGGAGTACTGCTGATCCATGTGATCTAAAACTATAGTTCAGAACGTCAATTAAATGATGCAGATATCTTGGACTTGGAATAATTTCTGATGTTTCAGTGGCAATAGTTTTTATTCCCCTGGTTTAACAGAAAGTAATTTAGATTTCTCTAGCAGTTTTTTATAAGAACTATCATACTCTTCATACTGGATCAATGTAAGAGCTCTTTCATTTAAGAATAATTTCGTTTTCTACAGTAGTGGCTTAGTACTAAACAAAAGTTTGGCAGAATTATTGAAAATTATTCTGTTTACCTGCCTAGCCTATTGAGATGGTATTTGCCCACTCGTTATTGAATAGTTAATTGTCTTACAATGTAATATATTAATGTCTGTTTACATATTTAAGATATATGACATAAAGCTTGAATCTATTGTTACTCCAAGAAGTTGAACATTGTATTCACATTGTGTTCCCGTTTAAATTGAAGATCAAATTATGTTTATTTTTCCCAATGGCTATAGCCTGATATTTGTCAGGATTAGCCTTCATTAAATTTATCAAAAACCAATTTAGCAGATTTTTAATAACAGTTTCAACGATGGTATCTATGCTACAATCACTATATGATATAATGTTATCATCTACATAATTATAGTATGCACTTTTTTGTACAAAAAGAAATATGCTTTTAAAAAGGCATTAAAAAGAACTGGCTCAAGTATTGACCCTTATGGTGCACCTTTAAATTTTTGATCCCATGAACTGAAATAACGTTCAATTTTGATACACTGTTTTGTGTTTTTTCTATATAACATTTGCATTTTAGAGATGTTTTTGACAAATCATATGCTTCCAATTTTAGTTTAAGTAAATCGTGCAGCAAACAATCATATGCGTTAGAAAACCCCATCAGAATTGCAGCAATAAAATTGTTTTCGTCCGGAACTTTTATCCACTTTTTTTTTACAAGTGTTGTGTGACAACAGAATCCAGACCTAAATGCAGAAGGTAGACGGCACAGATGTTTATTTGGAGATTCCTTTGATTGATCATGTAAAGCTCTTTCATCAATTTTGATAACACATTTATGATTTCCTTTATCTAGATAGTTATTCTATCTATACAGTAGATAGCCTATAGATCATCGCGACAAAAATAGATTCCAGTTGATTTGTTAACCAAAATTGTAATAGGATATGATAGTAATGGTTGTTCCATTTTTATCATGGCTTTTAGTGATATAGTAACATATCCTATAACTTTTGTTATTTTAATTTTGTTCATATGTTTACTCAAGCACTATTCTGTTACAGTTTAAAAATTCAATTCATTAAAACCAGTTTTATTTTTTTCGATTTTTAAGAAAATGGGTGAATTCTATCTATTTTAAAGTTTTTGTCCCCTGTGTACTTAACTACATTTCTGTTACCTCGTTAGGATCACAGATAATTTTATATTTTTCATATAGAATAATTTGTTTGTAAGTTTGATTTAAATCTTTTATCATATACACACGGTTTAATTGTTGCGATTTCATGAAAAGTTGCATACAATTACGTTTTTAAAATTGAAAATGTTTATTTTTGCGACACAATACACGTCACAATTTTTGCGATTAAAAAAATTGGTAACATTTCTATATTACTTCGGTGCCATCAATCTTTTTGCGTTAAAGACATTTGCTCCATACAAATGCATCACATTACAATAATGTCATAGTTAATTATTTCACTTAGCCTCTTATGCAGGTCCCTACTGCTAATGTAAAGTTTCACTTTTATTTTTCATAAAGATAATAACACACATACAGTCTTACAAAATTCATATTCATGTTATTTCTTTTAAACCTTTTTCCTTTATCAAAAGTGTTTGCACGAAAGATCTATACAAAATACTTTTTTCGTAAAAAAAAAATGCACAAACACTTTTCTAAAGTTTCTAAACTAGGAACGGATACATTACTATGTGCATCGTAATATCAAACTGGATTTATGTGAGCTTACACCCTACCCTTTTACAAGATGTAAATGTAAACTATGTTGTTTCAGAACCTTTAATCGATGCAATACAATCTCCTATTTATCAGTCTTTGCTCAGCTTTTTACCTCAGCTCCATTTTTGAAATTGCCATCTTACCGTTGTTTGCCTATATGTTCACGGTCTTTGAAATTATCAGTATCTGATGGCAGAGATTGCCTGTTAGATATACACATATTGTGCAATTGTGCAATACGACGACGACAACGATAAAATGTTAAAGTATCTCCTAGCGAAACACAGTAATGAGTAATGTTCTAGCATTTGGGTTTATGCATCGAATACTGTATATCGTTTTTTTTTCGCATCGGCTTTTTTTCGCGATATGATGACAAAATAAGCAGGTTAGATTTTTACTGTGTATAAATTTCGCTGAATGGGATAATACACCCGAAAAATAACTATATCGTATTGTTAAAAATGTAAACAACATAAACTATATTGACTGACCGGTAATCGATTACAAATAAATATGAGTACTTCAAACGAAAACACAATATTCAGTGAACTTTCTAGGAACATAAAATATATAAGTTAAGGCATGCTAAAAATTGAAGGTTTTGATCATTACAGATATACAAATATCCGTGTAAATGTGATTTATTTTAAATCTTAAAATTACATTAGATACAATGTACAAAGATCTGTAAAATATTTGGGTTATGACATCAATCAATAGATCGTCGCTAATTAACATTTGTTAACCTGTCACTGATTGTTGTGTTGTTAAAAGGTGTGCCATGCATGATTAGTCATTTTAATTATTATATAAACAGATACCTTAATTAAATATACACTTTCTTGTGATCTACCGAACAACACAAAAGACTCGACAATCAACAGCATAATATAAATATGAAACTTTCAAATAACGATAAATCTGAGAATATGCAGTGAACATTATGCAGGGTCAAATTTTCGCGTTTCTTTAGCTGCCGCTAACAAAGCAAAAATTAAACACTCGCAAAAAAACCCAATATACGGTATGCTAAAAGCTTCTGTGCAGATAACCTATGTAAAAATATACAGATTTTTATTAGCTGATATGATGCTCTACAATTTTCTTTTTTTATCAAAATAATGTTTCGTTTCTTCAAATGGACAAAAAAATGATGGAAGAATAATGATCGATACAAGCTTGACGGCTCAAATATTTAAATCAGCAGGAATTATTGCAAAGTCAGTGGTTGATCTAGGATTAAAGATAAAGAGGAGTGACCAAAAAATTGCTATAGTATCTTTATTTTGCATGCAAGTATAAGAACTTTCACCGACAAGTCGTCTTCCTTAGTCCATAAACAATGATAAACTTCCATCTAATGGTCTGCTTCTAATTTGTACATTGCTTTTCCTTTTCGGCTTGCGTTGCCATAGCCCAAATTATTTTCCTTTGATATCCTTTTATTTAAAGCAATTATGGATTTAAAATCAATAAATTCACGATGAATTCGATGCAAACAATCGAAAGGGCTGCAGTGCTAATTATTTCATTTAATTGCTAATCAAAAAGCATCGTGAATAAGGCTGTTGTTGAAATGCAAAATAAAACAACTTTGCGTGATATTAACTGCCACTTGGAAAAAAAGCTGTGCATATTGACAATTAACTGAAAGAGTACTACAGTTGTGTATCACACTGATTGTTCGTACAATGCGTATTTTCCTTTACAAAAACGATAGTTTCACGAGACACGTGTGGTATTGTAACAGAGTTAAATCGTACACACATGTAGAGTAATAGATCGTATAAAACGGGGAACGATAAAAAATATCAATTTCATGAAAACAATAGCTTAGGGAGGAGGGATTATCTGTTTCATTTGCATCAATGATATTTTATGTGTGCCACATATTTTTTCTTGTATTTAGCAAGAATTCGTTACTGGATGATGTGAAGTTGACGATTACCCTTTAATGGATTTTATTCATATTCAAATAATGTGCTGGAAAGAAAAAAAGGTTATCTTTGAGCAATTTGAAAGTGGTACAAATGAATGAAAATAACACCTTGTAAATTCTCCCCTTATACTGATTAACCTTAATCAGAAACGCTAGAACCAAAACATTTGAAAGTCCGGGATTTGTATATGCGGAGAAACGTTGGGAGCTATATTATCATGTTCTTAGCTAATGCTTTAATTTTCAATGTTTAAAAAGCTGTTTGTTTTCCTGAATAACTGTCCCTCTTTGATCAATTTCAATTAATTGAAACACCATCTGTCTACCACTTAATAGCAGCATAGCATATTATGTTGTAAACTGACAATACTTATCTTTGTGGACAAGTATTCCTTTTTTTTTTCAGTCAGAATTTTTCAACCTCTTTTTTTTAATGAGACATGTTTAAAGTCTTACAATTAATAATCCGGACAGTATCCCTAAATTTAGCTATAAAAGTCTAATGTATGACAAAATGAGGAAATAAATAGAGAGGACACTAACGTCCTGATTGTGATAAGATGCTTATAGATTTAAATGTTCAAATGTTTTGCTGCTGTGATGATGTGTGGCTTTAGAATTTAACTATTACTTAAATATACCGCAGCAATTTACCTCAGGGAACTAATTTGAAATAATTCTTACATAAACAGCAACAATTATCCTTTTAAGATGTTGATATCTCAGTTTCACACGGAAACATTACGACAAAAGGGACATTTTTTTTTTCGTTTCCTATTCTTAATTTTCTTTTTTCAACGGCAATGTTTCTTTGGTCAAGTCTAATGGTTTGTATATATTTCAGTTCGCTATTTTTGCACATGTTAACATTCACGTTTTAGAATTCAAAGAACGAAGTTTATATATAACTTGTAAATTTTAAATCATGGATTTCGTTACAAAAATTACTTAAAACCTTTGCCAATTCATTGATACAAATATTCGATTTGGAAATGTAGCTATGTGACGTTTTATGTATAGTCAGGTCCATGGGTTACAAAGGGAAATTTCACTCACATGAATTTCACGTGAATCTAAATGCATGTGAATCTGACGTGAAATTCATGTGAATTTCACCTCAAACGAATTATTCGTGAAACTGACGTGAAATCGGTTCATGTGGGTTTCATGTGAATCTCATGTGGTACTCATGTGAATTTCATGTGAAAATCACATGATTTTTATTCACGTGATATTCACGTGAATTTAAAAAATAAAGTTATTCAAATAACATCTAAATTTTCAAATCTAATTAAAATCATGAAAAATACCAAATTTTTGTGTTGGAAAGTTCACATGAAATTCACGTGAAAAATTTCATGTCATATTCATGTGAATCTAAATTCACATGAAACTTTCCATGTGAATTTCATATATAAGCTCGTTTGAGGAGAAATTCACGTGTATAGTGATATCAACTAACCACAACTGTGTAGCATCTCAACTGAACGCAATAGGGCAATGGTCATCGAAAATATACACCACCTGCATTTTAAACCTTTTCTATCAAAAATAATGCCCCATCATATCCTACTGACAACTTTCATTATGTTACAGACAGAAATCAATACCCCCTGAGAAATGCTATTCAAGGAAACCTCATACTCCCTAAACCAAAAATCTAATTGTTCAAGAAATTTTTTATGTTTTCTGGACCATCCATGTGGAACACTTTGCCTATATCTTTCCGAAATTTAACAAATGTTAATTCTTTCAAATGCAAAATAACCATTTATTGAAATCAATCAATTAAAAAAAATATTTTTTCATAACATTTTATGCAGTTGTTGTATTGAACATAATCATAATATATGTTCTTGACTAGTGTATGTCATGTATATGTAGCATTTGTTTTAAAGATTGTTTGTTTATGATTTTCTATAATGAGGGTCTCAGTGAAGATTATTGATTAAGCTAACTGCGTAACCCTCTTAAAATAAAGTATTGTTGTTGTTTTTATAATCATGGTCTGTTATCCTCTGTTAAAAAACTAGTGGGAATTCATTATATTCGTACTTAACTGTTTCATATACAATTATAAATTTTAATTAACTACTTAAAGAGGGAAATGGCACTTCAGTTGTTGATATTAGTTCTGCTTTGGACAGAATGATGGCAATATTTATTCACGGAATTCATTGCTCGAATAATTTGTTTATTTTGGTGACTTTTATTGAAACTTAGTAGAATAATCTGACACAGAAAAACGGACAACAACGTTGACTAACACAAAAGAATCAAAGATAGTCAAACAGAGAATAGATTTACGAATAATCTACCAAGTATTCATTTTTATGATATTTGCACTTTTGTACATTCTATATGAAAAATGTCAGCTTAAAGTCTTTCATCTAAAATGTTTTACATAATGGAATTTATTTAATGTTTAACCTTTTTACCTTCACAAAATATGTCACAGATATTTTGTGGTTGCCACAAGTGAAACAGGTTCCGATTATCCTTCTTGAGTACCTGAGATAGTCTTTTTTGTTTGGGGGGGGGGGGGTCCTTGTTGCTCTGTGTTCATGTTTATATGTTGTGTGTTGTGAACTTTAAATTGTCGTCGTCCTTTGTTTGTCTTTTGCCATGAAGTTGTCAGTTTATGCCTTAAATAGCCCCATGGTATCTTCCGCCTCTTTCAAAAATTTTAAACAACCATAATGTTTAAACATATATCTCAAAGCAGTTCTAAAGTATGAATATTGATATCAATTTTAGGAAAGGCATTTAGAGCAGAAATGGAAACACTTATCTTAGGACTTTTTTATGATTAGATTACAATGAAAATTAAATACTGTATTCTCACTCACTTTTAGCTGCTGGAGGAGGAAATAGTTTATGGGCAAGCTCTTTCTGATCCATGGTTGTAGCGTCTATACAATTTGGTAGATGACCAAGGAACTTTGGGATCTCCGCTGTTGCAATCTTTATCAAATGTACTGTTATTGTGTTGTCGTTAACAAGATAGTTAACATATTCTCCTATTAATCGACATTTATGTATATTTGGTGAAACGCAAACAAATACTTTGGAAGAAGTTTCCTCTGTAAATTGACTTTTTAGTGTTTTATACCAGTGATAAATTGTATATGGCTTCATGAATTCTGTTTTTTGATTTAGAAAATTCAGTATCCATGCATCATCGATGAGTGATCCACAAAATATAACAAATAGCTGCTTTCTGAAGCCTGTATAATTTCTCAGTTCAACTTTATGATAGACTGCAGTCATCACTTAAGAAAGAAATCATAATGAAAATATAAAGACAATTATTCAATAAAAAACTTTTGAAGGTCTCTATTCCTCATTCTTAGCATGTTGATGGAATGATTTATTTATTTGTATTCATAACGTAATAACAAGTTTTTCATATTGATTTATAGTTGTTTGCACATAAAGTCAAGTAACAAATATTTCATATCTATTAATTGATAGACTCTATGCATAACGTCTAATGAAATCCATCAATCGATTGAACGTCAAGGTATATATATTTGTTACTGATTGTTTGATAGACTGACAGTTTGTTTAATATTAAGTGACAGTTATTTCTCATTTATTGATTAATTGGTTGCTTGATTAAGATGATTGATTGATTTGGATTATTGATTGCTTATTCAACGTTCTATATCAATCATTCTTCATTGACTAATTGATTTATTGATTGATTGTTATTTGCTTAGCTGTAAAGAAAAAATATTTTACGCATATTTAGTAAATGGAAAACATAACAGTCTCCCCAAAGAGGTCATCGGGTCGCTTCGGTCTGAAATGATTTCTATATCCTGAGAATGTAACGAAGGAGAAATTGATAATTGGATAACCAGCGAGAAAAAGCGTTAACAAAGAAAAGTGTTTAGTTAAACAGAGTGGGTTTCAAAACCGATATATAATTGTTCCATATCACAAATCATATAAATATCAATATTATGCCCCCCCAAAAAAAGCGACAGAACGTAATAATTATGTAAATAATTTATGCAGGTCTATCCACGAAAAACAACATTCCAATGTCCATTACCAGCGCGCATATTATATTTGTCCATGAACAAACATTTCAAAAATATCTTTTTTATATAATTGTTTTTGTTCGTAAGTACCCTACAAGAAATGTAGGCATGACATGTTATTTTGAATAGAGTTGTTTTGTTCCTCAGGCCGTTAGTTTTCTCGATTAGATTGGTTAACATTGTGTAATGATATGATCATTTATAGTTTGCTCTGTGATATGAGTTTTGGTCATTGGTAAAGACCGTACGGTGACCTTCATTTAATAAAATCAACGTCATTTGTTCTCAGGTAGATATTGTCTCATTTGCGATTATAGAATATCTTTGTTTAATGACCAATAACAGGTATATGCTCCTTAAACGACAAAGGCTCCAACACAGTTAGCAGGAAGAACGACTGAAATCGACGCTATATACTTTTTGAGGTCATTACTATGATTGAGCTGACCGCTACGATGTTTCTGTATTTCAAATCAGTAGCGACATGTTTTCGCGGACTTCGATCTTTGGATTTGCATGGTAGGTTATAAATTTACGGCAGGGGTCACTTACACTGTCACTGCACCCGGTCTCGCTTCATTTGTATTTCCTGCGATTCAATTTGTTTTTTACTCGATTTGTATCTAGGTAGAATGATGGATATGAACATTGGCAATTAACTGTAGCCTCAGAATTTGTAGTGAATACCCTCATACTTTATAACATCATATCGCTGTATTCATGCTACTCGCACTATTTTTTATTGTTTCAAATTAATGAAAATTACATTTAATAAAGTCCGCGCGTCCGATACGCTTTTCTCGATTTACCTTCAAACTGAACGCTCAAAACCTTAAATACGAAGGATGAATAAATACCTAAATACGTAAGGGACATAAAAAGAATAGCCAAATCCATCTAGGGTCACCTTTGTCTGAGGGAAGTTGATCCCTAATTACTTAATAATCAATGAAGAATTTAAGCAAGTATAATATAAATCATGTCAGTAACGGTTCACTAGAACTGACCATAAAGCTTATGATATTCTTGGGGACTTAAAGTCTAGCAGCAGTGGTATAGATCCAGTGCAAGTGCTAGTAAATGAGATAATACTTAATTAGTTCTGGGCTTTCGAGGAATTTTTCTGGATTAATTATCAAAAGAAAAGATCAAACTTAAAACTCAGAAAGCGAAGGTTATATCATTTCCGGAATACGCGAGGAGATATAAATTGCTTCATATATAGATGGAAAGACACAAGTTCGTGCAGACACAAGTTCGTTCAGATGGATAGGCGAACACATTCGATGTGATAGCTGCATATATTCTTAAAAAAAGAAAGGAAGATTTCGAAAAATTTGATTATTCTTGATAATGATTCTCTTTACTTCATTTTAATTTCATGAAGGTGTCCTTAAGCGAGATTAAGGTAAAAGATTCTTTCAATTCGTGTCTTACGGCTGACTTATACCTTGTATACATCTATATCACTGTAATGTTTTTTTTATATATATATAATAAATAATTCCAAATCTATTTGATAATAAGTATATTTCAAAAATTGTTCACTTCATTTTTCAAGTATTTACTTACATGCCGACTTGCACTTATCACAATGTTCGTCTTGTTCGTCTTTAACGTTTTGTATCTTTTTTCTCAAATGATCTTGAATAAATAATCATTGTTCTAAAAGTGTAGATCAAGCATCACAAAAGGGAAGTAAAAAAACATATGTCGCTCCCGATATTGATAAAAGAAAACAATTGACAAAAGAATCAACAATTCTCACAACAGTACCAGAGAAAATTCAAGTGTGATAAGTGAGAATGAACTGACACCTCACTCGAAATATCTTAAATTTATGTTCAGTTAACCAAAACTTCTGTATAAAATTCAGAATAATAATTTATATTTAAAATAGAGGAGAAAACACCAAAACATTATAAGTCGAAAATAAACTGACAATGCCAAGGCAAAAAAAAAACAAAAACGAAAAGCTATCAAAAGACAAAACAATAGTTCACAAAACACAACCTAGAAAGACTGAACAACATGAACCCCACCAAAAATCGGAGATTATCTCAGTTGCTCCGGAAGGATAAGAAGATCATGCTCCACATATGAAGTTTATTAGACCTTTGGTTTTCCTGTTTGAATTGATTTAAACTAGTCATTTATAGCTTGTTGTTCGGTGTGAGCCAAGGCCCCGTGTTAAAGGCCGTACTTTGACCTATAATTGTTTACTTTTTACACATTGTGACTTGGATGGATAGTTGTCTCATTGGCACGCATACCGCATCTTCTTGTTTATATTTATGTCATCATAAATACATTCAAGAATTGAGGTTGGTGTGACGACGACTTCATGATATACCTTAACTCAACCTAAACCTGATACGGGACGGATAAACGGGCTAGCACACAAACACGAAAATCAAATTTACCCATGCTAGTAAAGACGGCGCATAAAATTAGTCAGTTAAATCAAAAATTAGATTTGTCATATTATGAATATAAAAATTTAAAATCCCTGAAGTAAGCGTGACATCAATAGCTTGTGACTTTTCATAGATGTGTATATCTAATGTGCTGGTCAGATAAAATGTGGTAGCCTTGTACATGTTTTATCCATGAAAATGTCAGTCTTCTTTCTGCGACATTTAGATTTTCATCTTACAACAATTGATTCTTTGCTTTGCTCATATTTTATGCAAAGAAATTAGTCGAAGTGGACCGATATTTTTTTTTTCTCAAATAGTTATATTTAGTCATGTTAACAGTTCAGCAGTCAAATTTTATTATTTCTGCCTTATATTCATAATAAATTGTCATACTGTTGAACGACACTGCCAAATCTGTGAATGATAAACACCATTTCTGCTGAACCATGATTCAATTTTAACTCGAATTTTTGTAATATTGTATACATTTCACTCACCTGGTAGTTTAGTCTTTAAGGTATCTATAAGTCGTGGAAACCAAAGATGCTCACAGGTTGTACAGTTGATGTATGGGAATTTCCAAAGCTTCCTACGTATCTCACTTATGTAATCTAATTCGACAATTATGAGCGACATTTTATCGTCCATATAACTTTCATACTGAGCATAATTTGCCTCCGTTACTGTTAATATAACTGCTTGACATTTATTAAGGTACTGAAACAGTCTATGTTTTAATGGAAAACCATACAGATAATTTTGCGTAGGGATAGCACAAGTTATATCATACTTCGCTTTTAACACTGTCGAAATATTCTGTATCCATTCAATTTCTCTTTGATTGTCACTATTTAAAAATGCTACATCAAATATTTCGCATTCATTCCAGTGTTTCTCAATTCCTGTTAAAAAAAAATGTTAATGTTAATATGAACTGACTGTAATCGTTTCCGTGTACATTTTGCAATTCATTCCAAATTCTAATCCGTTTGCAATTGTTTCAGTGTATCAAACTCTTCAAGGGGAGTGTGGTAAAAGGGAGGGGGGGGGGAACCAAAGGGACATTCAAACTCATAACTAAACTTGTCAAAATGTTACCGAAGCGCTCTAAGTGAACCACAGTCCAGTCATTAGTGTTAGTAGTTCAAATGACCTGGATGTGAGCAAATATATGTCACAGTAAGGCACCCCACAATGTGCAAAACCCGAGCCGTATAGTAATCTATAAAAGTTTCCGACGTTCCAAGTTGTAAAACAATTCTACCGAGAAAGGTTATTGTAGATTTCATGTCTACTCAAATGTTGCCACAACAGTACAACTAAATGTCATCCTTTTTTACAATGTCTGAAGTTATACAACTGGTAATGAAGTAATGATTGAATTTCTATTTAACTGTCAAATTTAGATTATCGACTTTTTCCTTTAGGAATATCATTTTTCTTGTAATTCCATATTAAAGATTTCTATATAAATTGAGATGTAAAATATTTAGCCAAATATTTGTTTTGGCTAAAATATGCTTTTAGACAAATTAACCTGATCAGCTTTATGTCATATCAAAAAGGGATGACAAATATAAGAAAGCATAACAGAAGTACCCAACTCCCAGGTAAATTCAACAAAGGGAAACGTCATAAATACTTTAAAATTCACACGTTAGACTTCATCAACCAACATTTCGAAAAGAAAACAACTGTCATATTCTCCACTCTGTACAAGCTCTTATGTTGTAGGAAATTGTAATGGAAATAAGTTGATGGGATTGAAAAAAGAAGGCGGAAGATACCATGGAAACATTCAAAACTCTATTTGAATTAAAAATGCTTTCTTTTTCCGTAATTTTGTTATTTCTAAATTTGAAAACAGTTGAAAAATTTCAGACAAATTGAACAGTTTGATTTAATGAAACAAGTTGCAATCCGGTCAACTTTTTTGGTGAAGTGATCCAATAACAGTCAGGTCACAGAAATACACGTGTTTGTCTGGTTCGTTATTATCTATGTTTCAATATTTTCATAGTTATAACCTTAGTGTGTAAAAAGTAAAATAACAAAAATACCAAACCCCAATGAAATTTCAAAACGGAAAGTCAAATGGAAAAATCAAAAGCTCAAACACATTAAACGAATTGAAAACAACTGTTAAGACAGGATTGCAGACACTGAGGAACGTTATTCATAAACAGACGTCGTTGGTTTAGAATCAGTATCTTTGGTATATATTTCATACTGTATATTTGTATATGTGATAATGTATTTACAATTTATAATTAGAAGAATAAAATAGGATAAGATTTACATCAATGAGACAGCAACTGAACGATAATTTCTGTGAAATTACTTTTATTCGTGGGGTACCATTTTCGTGGTTTCTGGATGACTTTATCCACGAATTCACGTGTCCAACGAAATATGACAACTGTTTTCCAAATCAAGACATGGAAAGATCCCTCTGTAGGTTTGACAGCATGTACATGTATGTATACGGACATACAATCAGAGAATACATATAATATCAGCAAACGCAATAGAACAATATATACAACCTCATAACTGTTCTACTTTTAACCTTTTAATTCTCTAGGTGTAATACCATCAAATCATAGAACGTCACATCCAGTTTCATACGAAAAAGGGTCGAAAAAAAGTATTCCCTTGAATCTGACAGTTGTAGGAAATTAACCCTGCATTTCATTTCAGAAAAAAAAATTATAAGCCAAAAACATATATCTTGGGTGTTTTAAAGCACCCTTTTTTATTTGGTGTTTTTATTAAATATTTTGGAAACTTGAGGTGACATGGGGAATAGTGATATTAGTTTTCATAGATGAACGTCTGACTTCCGGTGATGAAATGCGATAATGAAGTGTTCATTTATCTCCTTTCAATTCTCATACGAAAAAAATGGGGCTTGGTATTTCATCGCACTGGAATCAATTCTACAATTCAAAGTACATTTGTAGCATTTTATGTAACTGTTTTCTTTAAGTGACATGTTTATGGCCCAGCTTAACTTTGACGGTCGTTAATCACTTGATCATTCTATCTCGGGTTAATTAGTGTAATCAGTTCTTTTTCACATGTGCAACAATTAAAGTGTTTATATAAATAAAGTTGTCAATATAATGGAATTTGGTGCGACTGTCATACAAGTGAAAGGTTTAGCTAGCTATAAAATCAGGTTCAATCCACCATTTTTTACATAGGAAAATGCCTGTACCAAGTCAGGAATATGACAGTTATTTTCCATTCGTTTGATGTGTTTGAGCTTTTGATTTTGCCATTGGTTAGGGACTTTCCTTTTTGAATTTTCCTCGGAGTTCAGTATTTTTGTGATTTTACTTTTTACTTTGCAATTTCCTTCAATCGAGACAATTTGTAAGCATAGATTTCGGTAAGCTATTATCTTATTAAAAATTTGATAAATGTTGTCAGTCATGAAAGCCTAACAAGTAAGTGAAAAGGAATACCTTATTTTGCAATGTCCCACAAATCATTATTAAACAAAATATAATTATTTTCAAGAATCTTCGTTTATGATTGATTCAAATTCTTCACTCGACTTTTTTCAGAAAACTACAATCCACGACTTTAAGAACCCGCGAACATGCAACTTTTGCTGAATCCACAAAAATTGATACCCACGAATAAAAGTACTTTCAAGTATAACAAAAAGGACACATAAGAAGCAACATAGAGTCCTCAACGATAGACATGCGTCTACACAATTTAGCAAAATCAGCACGTTCTGAAAGAAAATATTTTTAAGAGGGCCACGACTACTTTTAGAAAAACCTCATATTCATATTTGACGTGGGACAACTTTGGGGACAACATTTGCTCCCCTTTGAGCATAACTAGTTATTGGTTTCACAAACCACGGTCTATATACTACTATTTAAATCATTTGATGAAAAATTTAGATTATAAATCAAACATGCTTAGTCTCAGTCACACATTCAGGATTTTTGAGGACGGCATTGATAGGACCATTACCGATTAAATTTTACCACAATTCTTATCAAGATCCTAAGATTCTTGGCTAGATATTCAAAAATTGTAAAAAAACATATGATTATCCATGACAACAATCTAATATTGTTCAGAAAGCGTCCCGATTCGGCCGTTTTCAGTCGAATTCGTCCCGAAACCCCTGATTTGTTTGCACCATTCGCATGGTAAAAAACAACCATAAATGTCCTGAATCTCTTAAATGTGATACAACATACATAAGACAGCTTGCTTAACCTTTCCTGATCTATCTCAATCCTTAGGAACGTATACGACTGCGTTAATAAAATGATAGGACATTCCAGATAATTAAAGTTAGTAATCCGACTTTTTTTCACATTTCGTGTCGTAGCGCTGTACGATTTCAAACGGAAGCCATAACCGGCTATGTGTGAACGCCTAATCAAGGGAACTATGAAACTTGTCATGGATAATTGTTTTATAGGTTGAAAAAAAAAAACAATCGAAGATCTAAATAAATCGCAAGATATAATGCTTGATCAAAGGTTTACATGACTCTGTTAAAGCAACTTCTTTTTCTCGCCATCCTAGTTATAAAGGAGAGGCGAAAGATACCAAAGGGACATTCAAACTCATAAGTCGAAAATAAACTGACAACGCCATGGCTAAAAACGAAAAAGACCAACAGAGATACAATAGTACACAAAACACAACATAGAAAACTAAAGACTGAGCAACACGAACCCCACCAAAAACTGGGGGAAATCTCAGGTGCTCCTGAAAAAGTAGGGACTAATATTGTCACAGACCCACAATGAAATTGTGAAAAAAAAACTGACATTCATCAGTAAATGTACTTCAAATTATTACATCCATCATATACGAAGAGAAATATTCCCTTATATCTAGTAAAACACGTATGCACTGTAGTAACCAATGCATCATTAAGTGGAAAAAATTATAAGAAGTAAAAAAAAAATCGGTAAAAAGAAATCTTGGAAACTTTCATAAATGCAGCATAATTAAAGAAGTCGCCAAGTTTTAACGTCTATTTTTCACTTTTGCTAATGGAAACGACATACCATCCGTCTCACTCAAAGTCCTAGGACCCACAATTTTTAAGACACTGAATTAACATTTCATCAAATCTTGTATTCATCTACACCACAAAATGAATTGGTTCCGGAATTAACACTAATGAACAGTCGTAGACAACTACCGAATATGAAAAAAAATCTTACTTAAGCATTTACCAGAGAAAATTTTGAGATACATGTAGTCGCTACGCAAAATACGAATATATTGACGAATGAGACTCGGTGACATTCTAATCTGGATTGAAATACAAAATTAATGTCACAATGAATTACAAAACGTGTCAATTTCTTTAAGATATAGGCAATGTTGTCAACGATGACATTAGAACTTCAATACAATGATGACTATAATCTCATATCGTGAGGATATATTAACGGAAATACAATATATAAAGACATTTCAGCCACAAATGAACTATTTTAAATACGACTTAGATATTCCTACTATTGTAGCATTATGTCCCTATTGTAAAAGCATCATCTGACTCCAAATGTGACAAGGTTCCCTTGGAAAACATAAAAAAGCCTGACAAATGTCTGGTTTACATGAAAACGTTAGCAAAAAAGAAATAGATGAACTTTACTGCAGACCTTGGCAACTTATAAAGAATTATTGAAATTATCAAAGCTGTCAAGTCGTTTATTTTATTAGAACGCATTCAAAATATAGAATGTACAACGAGCGTTTTGGTTTCTAACCCTTTCAAGAAGCCCGAGGGTGTGGATGCTTCATCCTCTCTTCACGACAGAAGTTTTGTTGATGAAACAGACAGAGAATCTAACAAAATGTATTTGTAAGCAACACTCATTAATTTGAATGTCGAACTAAAGAACTATGAATTCACAGCAAAACCTGGAATTCAACATATACCCCTAAACCATTATGTTAGAAGATAAAAAAAAACCTTTTGTATTGATATACGATAGGACGATGGAAATTTCACATCTTTATACTGGATACCTTAATTTCACAAAATTCCTTATAACGAACAAAATATAACCGGTGGTCTATATGTTCAACATCTTTCTAAAGTTCTTACCACCATTTTTGTACAGTAAAACAGAGCTGTTCTACAAAAATGGGAAGCGTGTATACATATTCTTTCATTTAAAATCAAGAATAATCTTATCTTGTGAAGAACCACACCGATTTCAAAAACTAAAACACCGAATATGATATCATTTAAATCTTGGTATTTTTAATCAACAACATATTTGTTACATTTAGTGCATTGATATTTCGACAGATAATCGGCTTTCCAATGGTACTTGTTGTACACCACTACTCGCCAACTTGTTGTTGTACTCATATGATTCAGAATTTTAACAAAACCAATTCTCAAAGACAAAAAAAGGCATCTTGCAAAGCTCTTTATTTCACTTTCTGGTATGTTATTGATGTCTTGTCACTCAATATCCTACCTTTCAAAAAGTGCTTTTTAAACTCTAGAATACGGATATGACCCCAACTATAAAGTTCGCTACATGTCTTGATTTCTTTGAAATTGACATAGATTCATGACTTCAAACAAGAATCTGGAACAAACGTGATGATTTGATCTTTCAAATTGACAACTTCCAATTCTCAGCAGTACAAACCCTCTGCCCCATCACATGACGTTTACATATCCAAATTTATACATAACGATCATGCATGTTTATACTATACGTACTTCATTAGCAGGGGCGTGCTCCTTTCTCAAATACTGCGTCAACAAAGTTATGAGGAAGAATGACTGAAATCGACAGGGCACAAGTTTAACGTCCACCCTCACGAATTGGTTTGACCGATACGATTTGCCTATGTCTCAACCTACATGGGACCTTTAATGTTGTCTGTAGTTTACTTTTTCAAATGACTGTTACTTTGAAAACAAATCATCGTGTTTCATAGAACAGCTTGGATCAGGATCTGGTTATCCTTCCAGAGCACCTGAGATCACCGCCGGTTTTTGATGGGGTTCCTCTTTCTGGTCTTTAGTTTTCTATAGTGTGTTTTGTATACTGTTGTTTTGTCTTTTGGTCTTTTTTTCTTCATTGAAATTATTTTTTGCCATGGCGTTGTCAATTTATTTTCGACTTATGAATGTGAGTGTCCCTTTAATATCTTTCGCCTCTCTTTTACAAATGTTTGGAAAAAGAATTAAAAAAAACTATTAAATTATCAAATCACAATCAACTCTTATTATTCTTTTAATATTGTTTTAGAATTGTTTTTGTATGTTAATATAATCAAGTACCTACACGTTCTATTGTTAAATGATGCCCGAATGAGATTGTCAGCTATTTTTTATATTTACGTTCCCGCATCGTGACGACAAATAAAGATAGAAGCACATACAAGGCATACACAGATGGAAATCTACGAACGGAGGATATAATTTGTTTAAACCTTTATGGGAATTCGGTGCTGTTAATCCCTTGACAACTGAATGCAGAATATCTTCGACCTATATCAAGCTTACTCTTAATGATCTCAATGATTATTCACTGGCACATGCAAGTAGAAATTCGGAGCCAAATAATTCCGATGATTGCAAACTTCATTAACATGATACACAGATACAAGTTAATAAAATTATACTACATACTAGTTTGGTGTTCGTAATCTGTATCTTCTGTTTGAACAACTTTATCTTCTATATGTATGTTGGGTAGTTTGCAGGATACGTTCACTTTAACGAAACATTCGGATATTAGAAATGCTTTGGAACGAAATCATTGAACAAATATTGTGAAGGCAAATATGTAAGACTCTGAACTGCGATGGTACTCCGAACCGCGAGGTCACGTTGAAGTGGGTTTTTGTTCACGCCGAAGTGCGAAAGTGGCATTGTGACGCTATCTGTTGATAGCTTCGCTGAAGTGCGTTGGTGGTAACGCTGAAGTGCGATGGGCTACATAAACTTGTAATTGATGGAAAGGGGGAAGTTTACCTTCTGTAGCGATTTTTTTAATCTACAAAACGTTCTTTTAAGCAATCGAAGGAGCATGGCATTATCTAAATGCATCCTGGTCCGCAGACAGACGTATTATAATATTACGGTAAACGAGGAACTTATCAGAGAAACAAATTTAAGATAAAATGTTAATGAAGAAATGTCTCGAAAATCAGAGAGGATAAACACTCATTTAGTATGAACTGTAATTAAGGACATACACAGACAATGATGAACGCAAATTTATAAACTAACTATTACAAAAATGCATTTCTCATACGAATTGCACATCTGTAGATTTTAAACTAGCCGTCATGCGTCATATAGACCATCGCACATCAGCGAACGGACCATCGCACTTCGGCGCAGACCATTGCACTTCAGCGCAGACCATCAAAATCCAGCATGACCATCGCACATCCGAGTCCTATAAATATATTACTTAAGCTATAACTCTTGACATTTTAATTTTTCATCTCTTGAAGTTATCTTTGATCATAAAGGACAGTTGTTATATATACACGAGAGAGGAAATAACCAACGAAAAGATCAGATCAGGCAAGAAATATAATCATTAAAATAAAACAAGTTTAAAAATCGCCATTTGAATCTTTCTTCTGTGACTTTAAAGACAGATTAGTAATTATAAGTATATAACTGTTGTTGTACAATCATTTTGTCATTTTTTTCTTTTGTATGGAGGGGGGGGGTACATCAATTTCATACATAATATAGTTTTGAAAACAAAATTTGTATTTTGTAATTAACTCAAAGCATTGTAATTATCAAGTCTTTCTGCTTTTTTATGCTGTAGTTCTGTAAATATTCCTAGAAGGCGGTATAAGGAAGAACGACACGAATCCACACTATGCAAGTTTTACGGCCCCCACTAATACGTTTATCAATAATATGTACATGTCTGTGCTTTAACCCAACAGAAACATATCATTTAAGTAATGACTGTAATAATGTTTCTGTCTATAAAGAAATAACATCCAAATTTAGCGAGTTTTTTTAAAATGTGCACCACATTTTTGAGGTTATTTCGAATAGACAGAACAAATATAACGGTCATTTCTTTTAATTTAATTCTAAATTCCATTTCTAAGGGGTAAATCATGAAAAAAAAACGTTGATGATGTCACGGTCACATGACAAAATTAAGTCTATGAGCTGATAGACAAAAAACTTTCAGCCAATCAGAAGACATGTTACATCCAAAATTGAATTATTCTCGTTTGTTATGTAACTTTTAACATCACGTAATTATCAATATTGTGACATTTTTACTGAAACTTGATTCGCTTTATATTTGTTGATTGCATAGAACTTAGAAGTGTACCTGTGGACGTACCATATCGCAATCCGTTTTGAGTTTAGATGATTTCCTTTAGATTTTTTCGGTGGGTTTGTAAACTTAAAATTGATCTACGAGTTTGAACATCAGTCAAATTTGTTGGCTCGAATTCATTTATATCAGGAACTTACTGGTTGTCCTAAGATATATATTCATGCCTTTCTTATCTATGATCTACATAATTTCGTGTGAATGTAAGATCTTTTATATTAATAGCAAACTATAGCCTTCAAAACACATGTCTAGTATTGAAGACCGTATTTTGATTTTGTAATCATTTTCAATATTTTTATCAAAAAAAATCTCTTTAATATCCGTGTTGGGAAATGTTAGCTTTGCTCGCTTTACGTGACGAACCTTTGCAAACACCATGATAATGATCCGTGTTTGATCTATTGCAAGGATACATTGCGGTCCCAATCAAACATATCCTTTCTCTAGTGGCAGTTTAAAGTTCAGGTCCTTCATTCAGGTTGATACAATTATTATAATAATTGTCAATGTGTTTTGGTTCTTAATATCCGTGAAATATTTGCCATTGATTTTTACGAGAACATCAATGAATCGATCAATTCTCTTTTTGTTTTTTCAATTGTTCTGAGGTTGTTGTCACATCTCATTTTATTCATTGACATATCAACGCTTTGTTTGTATTTAACCATAGCGTGCCGGACGCGAGTGCAGGAGGACGTGTGTTCCATCTCCGGCCGGGTCAAACCAAAGACTTTGAAATGGAATTTGCTGCTTCCCCGCTTAGCATTCGGGATTTATAAGTAAATGCAAAGACTGATTGCCTCAGATTAGTCAGAATAATGAGATATCTGTTCTGGTCTTGAACATAAATGAAATTTTGACACTGAGAATTAGGCAAAGAATAATCAATACAGTAGTTAGACAAGCACTTTCTATTAACTGGTTTATGAAAATTTAAATGAAGGTTATCTTATTATGCTCACGTTAGTATGTTTATATTGAGACACCACGGAAGCTAATTTGGATCATAATAGCATACAACAGCCATTGGTGAAAGGGCGAAGTTAGGCACTGGTGAACTCCCTCATTTTGGTTCATTATGGTGCAAGTACATAAGTGCATTAAGATTCACAAACCTTCATTGGCATTCAAAATGTGAAGCGTGACGTCAACTTGGCATGGTATTTCTGTATTGATATTACAATCTTCTATCATTTTCGTAAGAAATGATATAACCGCAGATTCAAATGCTTCAGGATCACGAAGTATACTTGATGCTATCGTTGTTAACATAATCAAAGACCCTTTCCTCACAAATATTTTCTTAAATATTTCATCTTTGTTTGATGGATTTCGAAGAGTTGCTTCTACAACTTCAAGGTTCCAGTCCCCAGGAGTTGCTATTTGCCACATGACAGGACATTCCAATGAATCTATGTTAAAACAAATATTTCATTTCTTTATTTATTTTATAATTAACAGGTACAATTATATAATCAGATGACAAAATCTTCATACAATTTAAGTTTAAACGTTGCATTTAGTTGTCAAAAGTACTAAGGATTTTCTATCAAAGGAATTTATTACCTAAGCTGTATTATGCAACACATTTCTGCATTGTAGGTCTTCAATGCTCTTCAACTTCTCACTTTATATGGCCTATTTCAACTTTTTTGAGCTTTCCAGAAAAGTCTTTTGTAGACCAAACGCGCGTCTTGCGTACAACATTATAAGACTTGTAATTTTTAATGAGATTAGTTCAAGCTCTTAAAATTATTTTCTCTTTTGAAATACAACACATGCTTAATATCAAACATCTATTATAAGAGAATTTACTAATGTGCTACATGTAAACAGAAATTCTACCTAGTCATGGTTCCACAGGTACAAGTAAGTGATCAGGCCTTTCATACTTCACTGACAGCATTAAGTTCTGTATTGCTCTGATCATTTCCACTAAAATTAAATCATAATTCACAAAAACAAATGATAAAACATTAAGAATATGTAAGTTTAAGATTTTACTCATGTAACCTTCAGAACTCTTTTCTTCCCTCAGTTAAGACATAAATAGATATAAACAAATTAAATTGAAAATTAACATGATCCACGGAATTTGTAAAACAAACAATTAATAAGTTATTTCATTTGAAAATCTTAAATTCTCTTTAGCCTACTATTTATAAAAAACCAAAACATGACGTTTCGAAATAAAAAAAGCATATAACATAATAATCTTGCCTTGCTTTTCCTTGAATTCCTTTTGACTTTCCTTATATTCCTTGATATCTGATGTAGTTGTATCTAGTTGGTTTTCAACCATTTGTAGACTGTTTGCTTGAGATTCTTTCACTTCTTTTACCTCGTGTTTAATATAATTTTCTAAGTTCTTCTCTGTATTTTGTAACTTTTCTGACAGTGCATGTTTCGTTGTTTCTACTTGTATAGAAGTGTTTTCTTTGATATCTTCTGTGTTGTTAATTGACAACATTTTAAGCCTGCTTTCCATGGCTCCAAAATACCTGATATTGTCAGTACAGGAGGAATTAATTTTTTGTAATACCTAAAAATTAAAAAAAACTGGAGTGACAATTCTGTTTTTTCCAAAGCTGAGTGAGGTTTCGTCCCCGAGGGTATTACCATTTCAATAGTCAGCGAGTATGTGTTGATATTAAATATCACTCAATACGTCATTTATTTTTTTTAAATTACAGTTAATTAATTAAGGATGTACACCTCTGAGGAGCGAAAAATTTCTAGAATTAAACTTTTTTTCTTAACCTGATTTTTGGGTTTATATGACTGTAAAAAAATAATTGGCGAAGAAAAAATCATATTGTGGTGCACTTCTTTTTTTGCTACAGCCATTTGAAAGCACATAATTTTTATGAATTTTCCATTTTTCCTCAATTTTTACCCATTTTTGGGCTATTATCATGAAAAAAATCACAGTTTCACAATTAAACTTTTTTTCATACTTTCACTTAAGATGAAGTGGACCAATCTGAATAAATTTAACTTAAAAAACTATGGGTAGGTGTTAATATAAGAAAGTTTTATAAAATTTTGTTGCTTTTTCGTGTCAAATTTACCATGTTGTCAATTTTGTAAATTTCGGTTTTTTCTCTTTTTTTTTAGAACAAAAAGCATATTATTTCAACTTCTTTGTTATAAATGATTGAAAAAAAAAAATTCTAAGAAAATGTACATGTATCTGGTAAAATCATTTCTTGTACCCCTCGCCTATTTTCTCAACTTTTTGGCTAATGAGACTGACTTGATTGGTTATAACATTTGAAAATTTTATTACTCAAAAACTACTTATTGTAAATACACAAATTTTTCACAGAGTTAAGTTTGATTATAATATTTTTAAAATTCATTGATATTTTCCACTTGTATCACATGTTTTGGAAATAATTTCAGAACGAGATTTCAACGAGACTGAAACATCAGAAGAATACATCCTTTTATCTTAACAGTTCATTCGAAATACCAAGGTTTTATTTCCCTAGATATAGATACAATACATCATGAGTTACCAAATTTACTGATTTATGATACCGTCATATCATTTTTATTATAAAGTTAAAAAAACTGCAAGTGTTAAATGATGCGGATAAAAATGTTTGGTGGCCTATATTTGTTTACTCCTATGCAATTTGGTCTCTGGTAGAGACTTGTTTCATTGGCATTAAAAACCACATCTTCTTATTTTTATATTGTAATACGAACTATCATCAAAAAATCAAAACTACCGACTTTTTAATAACGTTTCAGCATTTTGAATAAACAGAGGAAATCTTCGCACTCTTAATCAAAGCCTTCAAAATTTTGTATTGCTAGTATTTATATTATACAATCAATCCTGGGTTACCAAATTAGCTGATTTATTTTAACTACACATAACTTTCATTATGAAATACAAATAAGGCCTGTGTTGATTGCTGAGGGCAAACTCTATTGTTATAAAAAATACTGAAATTTAGTGCGGGTTTAGTATTTTGAATAGAAAGAAGAAATTCGGACACTTTAAATCAAAACCGACAAAATATTGTAGTCATTGTGTACCAGTATTGCTGTCCTTCATATCATACAATCCATCCTGTAATGAAATCGACAGTCAAATAAAGTAACTGTTCACCAATATTGTAGTCATTTATCATGTTTATATTGTACAATCTACCCCATTGTACGAAGTTTAAAATGCTTATATACAAATATTTCAATTTAAAGTACACGTGTGACCATTATCAATGCATGCTATCATAACCAATATTTTAAGCTTACAACTGTAAGTGGACTGCCAAATTTCTAAATGGATCATAGCTGGACCTTTTGAATAAAACAAAACTGATTTGATAAATAGATTTTTTATTATAATATGTGTAATGTATGTATGTATGCAAACTGTGTCTTTCAACAGTGTGGCCAATATTTTTTTCTACTTTTTAAAAGGGAAACGAGAAGATAATGTTATTCCAATCAAAGTTCTGTGCGGACTGTTTTGTTACCATGAGAAACTTGGAAATTTTAAAATTGTTATCAATTCATGCAAAACTGTCCTGGTCACACGTTAACTAAGTGTGGAGCAGACCTTACACCTGTCCTAAGTAAAAATTTTACCAGTCAAAACGGAACGTATTTTGTAAAACTGAATGAAGCTTGCTTCTAACGCATACACTTTCAGTGAGAATTCTTTTTTTTTAATTTATTTCGTTATTCATAAAATTTTATGTAAAGGATGGAATGACAACCCATATCACTGTAATGCATGTCACAGTAGGTATAGTGTCCGGCTGGAATCGTGTGAATTCGAGTACTATAAATTCAAAGGTTTTTATTAATGCGAATAATATCTGATCACTATATCTTAATGCATATTTTACTGAAATCGCAATAATTAATCTCGCATTTTTGTCCATTTTTCACAAATTGCAATAATAAATGCACGCAATAATGTCTGAATTTACAGTAATTTGATCGTTTTTTTAGTCTGACTACGTTTTTTCGAGTCAATTTGATAAAAAATGTAAACAAACAGACTTTTTTTTCTTGTAAGACGTGAAATTGATGCTTGAACTTAATATAAAAGATCAAACAAGGTAAGTAAGTATTTTAGATAAACAGATATCATCAACACAACATTATTTAGTGTTAAAAAAGTTTAAAAAAACAGTACAATGCTTTTATTCCAAAATAAAGTATAAAGCTAATTTTATACAAATACCAATGCAAATGTCAAAGAAAATGTATATTTGGAATCTATATATCATTAGATATACAGACAATTTATAAAATTTCTCTGTATTGCAGTGAGAAGGACATTTTTACAATAAATTCATTTTTATATGTCCGTGTTTTTTTCGACAGCAGTCCAGGCATTTTAGTGCGGTCCAGGTTTTTATCGAGTGAATGAACACATTATTTGCAAAATCTGATCAATTGCATGGACACCGGCATAGGTATATTTGAATACATAAAACATGTCCATACCCTTGTTAACATGGCAGAACTATCCAACATGTCAACGTCCAGGTGTACATGTGCATGTCGTACAGATCCAAGCATACGTATATCGATGTCGATTCCATACAGTAAATTTGCGTGAGGTGAACAATTTTCATGTTCGTGTACCGAAATTGATTTCATACAGTACCGATAAAAGAGTACTCACAGTAACTGAAGGCTAGTTCAAAACCAATAACACTAATAAATAAATCATGCATGTTTAAAAGACTAAAGTATCAAGCAGTACAATGTTGGATTGAGACATACATACATTGTGTGTGTTAAGCGGGTATGTGTATTTTTTAAACATAAAATACATCCTAAATGTTTCGTTTACTATTTGTTTTTAGGAATATTTGTTTTATCGTCCTAGATATGGATAGAAGAATGCTGTTCAAATGCTTCTACTGTGAAGAAGAGTAGAATCAAGTGTTTGTTATATTTGATCATACAGCAGTAAAGCACCAAGATTGCTTTCTTTCCATCAGATAGTAGTGCCTCAAAATGGAAAATACGGATTTCTATCTAGACATTTCAATTAACAATGTATATTTACGGAACTATGCCATATGCGGGAGACATGAATTAGATACACGAGGTGTATGCTGTTATATACACATTTTTCTAATTATTTCAGAACGAGCATATTAAAGCTTTTAGATTTTTTATTTCAAATCTATTTTCAATGGGAAGCAGTACATGCTGAATAATTTTGTGTGGGTTTTTGTTGTTTATTGTATTTTATTGGTGGGGAAAACTGCCCAAGGCCTCTCTTTGTTGAATATTTGTGTATATATTGCATTTTTCTGATTTATTGCTGCTGTCCTTTAGGTTTCTTATCCCTATTTTTAAAACTATTTTTAAAACTCCAGTGTTTTCCACGGTAATATATATTAATCATAAAATTGTATTTACTGTAAAAACAAAATGTAGCATGAAATGAAAAAGGTTATGAGTCCCTCGTTCTCCGTTCTAAAGACAGTTTTACAAAGAATCTAGTAATTTCTAATATTATAAGTTACATGGTGTGCTACTGACCTAATACGATATATATGGGTGTCAGTAAATGCTATATGGAATTTGCTGACCCCATATATATCGTAACGAATTATCGTACCGACTATCTTAACATGTGGTATTTAGACTAGTGGCCTATCAAAGTGATCAAGTCTTCAATACCGTTAGTATTAAGAACCTACTTCTATTGGTCTATACAACAACAAATGCCAACAATAACAACTTGTTAGCTTTAAATGTGTTTTATGAATTTATTACAATCGTTCATCATCAATGTCTTCGTCTGTTTAAACGTTTCAGCTTTTTCCTCAACACCGTGTTGTTTTTATAAAGGGACGTAACACCACTACTAACCTTGTATTGAAATAAGCCCCGCCTACTTACCCCATATGAAATATGCAGAACAGAAAGTTATCGTTAAAAGGGTTGAATCACCATAGTAATCATGGTAATATGTTTTTGTGACTTATTAAAAATATGTAATTTTGTCCTTCGCTATATTTCAGTTACAAACTACAAAAAAATAGGTTTTAAGCTCCCACAAAAAACCAGGACCATTTGTTAAGAAGCACATAACGTTTTAAAAGTTGCTCTCGTAGAAACACAGACAATGTAAAACACTAAATTGTTAGTGAACTACAAAGAAATTGTGCGTTGTTTGTGCGCACAACATGTATAGTAGTCAGAATAAACAGTCATGAACAAATATTATACTCACGAAATAGCAGGAAATCGATCTGATCTCTCGATAAAACACGATCTCAGCCGAACACTATACATTTCTTGTATGTGCTAAACTGTGTTTTTTTTATATCTTTTATGTAGCTACTAGTGCCTCTTATAATTAAACTAGTCATATATACGAGGAATAAAATTATGTACGCCAGACAAGCGTTTCGTCTACAAAAGTAGTATCAGTGACGCTCGAGTCAAAAAGTTAAAGGACCAAATGAAGTACGAAGCTAAGAGCATTTAGAATCCAAATTCTGAAAGAATATTCCAAATACAGCTAGGGTGATCTATTCCTGGGGTAGAAAATCATAATTATTTCGAAAAATGTAAAGGTTTGTTTATAGTTAATTTATAATTCTGACCATATAAATGAAAATACCTATCAACACAGAAGTGCTTATATTATTCTTCCACTTTGTGTCTAACTTGGTGTAGTATTTTTATGATTTGTTCTGACTTTCTTTTAGTTTTTTTGTTACTTTTTTGATAATTTATGGTAGTCCTGCTTACACCTTTTAGCTTTGTTCTCATTTATGCATTACTCGATTGTCTCATTTCGATTTGAATTCCAAATTATGCAATTGTGTCTTCCCCTTACTTTGTCATTAAGTTCTACCATATCTATACAGACGAATGTTTCGATTGCTGTTAAATCTATTTTGTCAGATGTTTCGTTAAAAGAGCACAGGACAATATTTCATAGCAGTTGATATTAAATTATGTCCGCCAAGGGAAGTAATACAAAGGTTATCGAAATGTTTTTTTTTTTTTTTATTATACTTGAATTCTAATTAATTAAGAAAGGTGTATTATAAGTAGATGAATTTAAACATAAACAAATGGATGGCAGTGAACACCAACAAATTTACAACAATCTTAAGTTCAAGGAAATACCCTCAAAACTTCAATGAAAATGTGAGGCGAACACTTCGAAGAAAATATCAAAATCATAAAACCAAATTTTTACAGCAACAGTTTCGAAATGGTGTCCTCTCACAGCAGTTGATATTAATTATGTCCTCCAAAGTAGATAATATAAAAGTCATCAAAATTGATAAGTTACAGGCACAAAAGAATATGATGGAGTTTAAAATCATTGTTTTACCAAATTTACTGTTCTAGGACCAAATGTAATGGTAAAAGGTGTCCAGTGATAACATGGACACTTTTTCACAGATATGAACATTTTTTCAGGTAAATCGTGTCCTGGACACATTTAAATAAGTAAATATTGTCCATGAATAGCATTTACTATGAAAAATGTCTTTAAACAGGGAATTTTTTAGGGAATCACATTATATGTAAATTTAGGAGATAACGAGTATTATTTTGAAAAGTTTCCTGTATCTTATATACTGTAGAAACTTTCGTTTCTATTTTTCGTCCATCCATCGATCGGACAATTTTAGAAGATTTATAAACAAATTTAAACTTAATCAAAAGTCAAAGATTCCACGATAATTCGGAAAGCCCAAATCTGAACCAAAAGTCAGTTGACAATTATAAACAAATCTAACACTTCAACAAACGTATGCGGGAAACTGTAGAGAATTCTTTTCATTCACTTATCGCAAGATTGCCGTAAAATTCAATTTAAGCCCTTAACTTCCCCAAAAGTCAAGAGATGCTTTCTGCTTAACTAAAAGCATGATAATCACCAAAGAGGATTAACATATGTTTAAACAAAAATAGTGATATATGTAGGTTGTGTACAAGTTATAAGTGTGTACAATTTATAATTTGTACAATGTTTTTGTAAAAGGTATCAGTGTTTTGACACAAATCTTCTTTCAACATCGATATAGGTTTTTTTCCAATATTCAACCAGCTTGATGTTTTACTTTCGAAATAATTCTTTCAAACCATGCTCTATGCTGATTTTTTAAAACATGAATAGGCATTATAATAGTCAATATCTTTATACCGATCATTACCTATATTAAATTGAAAACAGAGCAGGGCATGACACAATGATTTCGATTTTGATCGGAAAATTTACTTGTATACTTTAAAGCAGACCTATTCATCAACAATTTTCGTAGACAACCCTTTTTGATTTGTTGGAGCAATTAGAAAGCAACTCCTAGGAAACGTCCGTTATCGTTTAGCTATATCAGCAACAAAGTAGGTTGACATAATGAGGTGGCGCCACAATAGTCCTTTTTTGGACTTGTCATGATTATAATATAACAGAATTGTAAAGTTTGTAGGTGTTGTAAATTGTAAGAAGTAAACTGAAATTGATATCACATCATCGAGTTAGTTCTAAAAATCTATCCACTATCTATCTATGATCATCTATCTTCATATATTAAAAAAAATATTGAGAGTAAATCACTTGACGGTTAAAGAACGTTTAATATCTTAAAGGAAATCGAGGATCCTATTTTTACATGTACATAATTATGAAGCCCTCATTAGTGACTAAAATACTATTATTCTGCAGGTTTTGGAAGCGTTTCTATAGTTTAAAGAGTGATTCATGTGAAAGGACCAGTTTCGTTACGTGGTAAATTCTTTCACAGTATTTAAATATAGGATTTTAGTAGAGATATGAGTTTTTTTTAACAATTTCATACGTTAAATTCATTGTAACGTAACAAAATCCTTCTCGAACTTTATTGGCGGTTTTCTTTTTTTAACACGTCATTTCAAATTAATGAAATATGTGACAGTGTCATATTGCGGATATTGGTAAAGTGAAACAAATATCATGCTTATTTTCGTTTGAAATTTGTTCGTCTTTAAACATATCATTTATACTGGCAACAAATCTATCAAATACTGAATGGACAAAAAAAAATATGGTGACCGAAACACTTCAATGTTATACGAATTGTCACGTTAATGCCCGTCAGAGTAGATATTTATGTTAATGAGAGAACAATTTGTACAACCTGAACTAGAAGGAGGAGTTGAGCGCTCACAAAAGCATTTTTTGTGCCTGTCAGAAACCTGTAATTCAGTCGTTGTCTTTGGTTCATGTCTTTCATAGTTGTTTTTCAAAAATTGTATTGTTATAAATAACAATGAATAAGGCAATCAGTTTTCTCATTTGAATTGTTTCAAGTTTTTGTTTATGACGGGGCCTTGTCGATAGCTAAATACGGTGCAGAAGTTTGTCGTTGTTGCCTCATGGTATCCTATAATTGCTTTTATCTTCTTCATTTGAACTCTGGTGAATAGTTGTCATATTGGCAATCAGACCACATCTCCTTATATTTCTCCTAATTTTTCAATTTGCAAAAAGGTACATCTTACTATTATAGACATATTTTCTTAACTGGACGATACTCACTAATTCTACTTCCTGTACTCTTTTCATCAATTCGGTTATTTCTTCTTTCTCCAAATTAACTTTTCTTAACTCTTTAATTTGCATTCGAATAAGCCTTTTGTAATGACGGTCCGCTAAATCTGCAAAAGCGTTCTCTAATTCATTCCATGCTGTATTCAACTCGGCCATCGTGTAACAGTTCATTGAATGTGCATGACAAATCTGACTTCTGTAAGTGGTAACTGTATCCAATGCTCTGGTCTCGTTTTGAGACAACGACGTCAAATTCCTAAGAAGAAACGATATTGCGCTGATATCTAATTCATGAATCGCGATATTTCGTGTGATATATTTGTGTAGACACACTTGTACAAGCCTTCCGCTATTTCGGACAATATGTCCCCTATCTTCAGTACCAGACTCATCATACATTTTCTTAAATATCCAGTTATCCATAAGACCCGTTCGCTTTAGGCTACAACCTGCCGGCGGACAAGCACAGCATAACAACTTCTTAGATTGCCACATGTGAAATATTTTATGCTTCTTGTCGTCAAGAAACAATTCAAAAGATCCACCGTACGTTGGTAAAAGTTTGTAGTCAGCAAAGGCTGATAAAACTTCAGTCCCTGTATCTACTGCACATTTAAACAGTCGCAGCAATTCCTGTGATTCATTCGTACTGTTAGTCATTGTAAAAGGACTTTTGCGGAAATATTTAGATATATTCTACAACGTTTTTCGTCATGTCAGGTGAACTATTCTATTCAATTGTAAACAATTATAAATCTTGTCGCCATTTTAAAAGTCGAATTCTTTTTAAATCGACAACTCCTTGTTATTATTAAAATTATAATTTTGTGAAACTGAACGAATCCATTGAATTCAAATGATGCGAAGAAAATCAATACTTGAAAAGTTCATACGCACAACAAAGACGGTATTCTTATTTGTCTTCAACAGTATTGTCCATGATCTTTATCAACGAAACAAACATGGCAGTTTATATGTATTCATCGGCCTGCTTTAAATAGAACAGATCAATATATAAGGTCTACCTTTGATAATAGATTTAAGATATTTAAATAAGGGAACATCTCAGAAGTATAAATTTATGTTTTTATTTACTCGGGCCACCAGTAGTTTTTTTAACATTGCTGCATTACAAATAAATATAAAAACGTCTTTTCTAGCATGATTTTTGCTTGTTTTGCATAACATCAAGTGACACGTTATTCATATAGATTTGCTGATTGTCTTTATTGATTATCTTGTCTGACGTAAAGAGACGCTCATATTATATTGATTGATTGAATGTGTTACTATTAAACGCATTTTCTTTACGCAAAAAGTTTTAAATGTTCACCCTCATACAAATACATAGGCAGAGTAGGGGAAGGGACTGTCACTTGATCTAATTCACGGGACCAGGTCTTGATAAACGTGCAACCAATAAAAAGGGAGGGTCTGGATTCCTTTAAATTACACGTTTCCAGGCCAGTGTAACATTGTACATTTTTTTTTATTTTAATCATGGCATTTCTTTGATTTTGCAAGTATTAAGCACCCCTCCAGTTTCCCCCTTCTCCAAAATTTTTTTGCATGTAACTTTATAAAGGAGAAGGTATGATAAAGCCTTTATTTTTGCACTTTAAATTCGAAAAATAAAAATCAGTGTAAATCTGCAAAATAACCTACATCAGTTTTTCATAAGATATCAAATCATTAATCGGTATTTATATGTTTAAACCACATATTTGTATCAGGGCTTCAAAACTGCAAAAGCTGCCAAATAGCCACATTTGGAGATCGTATCGTTAATATTCAAAGAAGCAAATGTATGTAAAATATATTTTGTGGTAAACAACCAACCAACCAACCAACAGAAAAATGCTTTGAAGCAATATAAGAAAAGCTTTTTTACTAATTAAATCGGAGATTTAAAAATAGCAAAGATTTCCCGTGGTACAAGGATGAATTTTAATTTAAAGAGGTCAAATGGATATATTTAGCTATACTCAACAATTAATACTGCGGCGGTCAACTGTGCCAATCATATTTTTTTTCGAGCAGTGAGTGTCTTACTCGTTTTAATATGTGACAACATCCAGATATTTAGTCTTCGTAAACTGTGGACATTGTTCAAGTAAAAAGTGTTGTTAAACATTTTAAATAACTTGAGGTATTATATAACATATACATTGATATGATAAGGGAAAACAAAGACAATTGTTTTTTTCGAAACTTTTTGTTTTGCAGGACTCAAAGTGCCAGTTTGATATTCACAATATATTGCAAAAGTGTACGAGAGACTGAATAAATGACCCTGAGACTTTCCTGGTCTTTCACAGTCAATAACATTTGTCTTAATTTAAGACTAGGTATTTGAATAGATGCTATCAAAATGATTTCTCAGAAAATTTTGATCTTCGATATGAAATTAGTGTAACTTTTCAATTAAAGTCGTCTCAAATGCAAGACGAAGAGCCCAAGCATTGCATAGACCATCCCGATTACTCAATATTCATAAGATTATGCATAGCGTTAGCTTACATAGATACAAATGACATCAATGGGAATTTTATGACATTGAAAGATCATGGAAGTTAATCCAACCAACTCGACCCTTTTCCATTGTTTGTCGTTTGTTATATATAAACATTTAGTAAAGTGGCACTTAAAGGCTCCTGAATATATCAAAAGTCGAAATTTTCAGATATATCCTTTTGATATTATTATTATATATGCCAAGTCTAACTATATCCTCAAAAAGGTCACAGTGTCATCTAAGCTGTCCCCGGTGGTCTTTTGTGATATAATTTGAATATCAAAGTGGCACTTTGAGCACTTTGTACATTTTGAAGACATACTGTTAAATTCCTCTTTTTTAACACATATATACGTTTTATTCCTAAATATTTCCTGTATACAATTACCTCAGTCGTCAAGGTAACAGGCTAACAAATTGCTCTTACAGTATCTGTATGTAGATATTAATTTACTCTGTTCTAAATGCTATTACGATTAACAGACCATGAAGGTCTGTCTAACGCACACAAACTTATTCCGCTGATTTGCGTTAAACTTTTATAGTAAATTAGCACTTTAAGTCTTACGTACGTATCAAAAATGAGATATCCCTTTGATAGTTCTGATATCTATGCCTAGCCTTACTGTCACCTAAATTGTATTGACATTAACAGATCAAGATGATCTCATCGTCATATAAGCATTTCCTGGAAGTTTTTTTGCAATAAACTTTAAATATGAAAGCGCTTTGACAATGTTCTTGAGGGTTTTCCATAGTTAGATATATTTCATACGTTAATAAATTGTCCGTGTTTCATTCCATAAATTTCATGCGTGATCATGTAATAAAATAGTATTGTTGACTCATCTGTATCGATGAAGATTGATAAACTACAGAGATAGAATCGTCTTCAGTCATAGGGTTTATATTTGAGAACAACTGAAAATTACGATTATTTATCGGAGTTAGAAAACGATTTGGTCGTATAACTTTTGACATGACAGGTTATTTATGCATCCCACCATCGGGTTTTTGATTTTTTGAATTTAGGCATTCCAGGTGCAGGTGGATCTTGAGGTGTGATTCGAACCCAAAGAAACATATTAGCACGATGACAAATAACAGAGAAGCTAAAACCAAAACGATACACAACTTCAGCACCAAGTATTTATAGCTCAAGACCATCTTATATTATTTGTGAAGTAGACACTGATAATTTATCTATCAGGTCTTGATACTACCCGATGAACTTTTTGAGAAAAACTACGAGACGTTCTTTCATAAAACGTTTAACATAGGCATATATAACATAAAATACTACAACGTATAAGGAGAAATGGTTCGTGTATTACGAATCGTAAATCTTTGTACATCAATTTAAAATCATGCTTGTTTAATGAGCATCTGGTATGTCCATGACGTATGCAAGTCTTGTCTGATATAAGGTAATACAGTAATAGTTAAATACATGTATTGAATGTAACTAAACGAACCATTTCAGATACTTTTTGAAATTGATATATTACAAAAAGGAAGGGATAGGATAAAACTTTAAATATGTAGTCACTTAACATGTCCTGAGTAGGTATTCCAGTAGAATCTGATCATCACATGTTTTTTTTTTCAAATAAGTTAACAGGTTCCTTTACTGTGACAGTCATCAGATCATTATGACAGTTCTGAAGGTTGTAGTCTATACCTAGATAACATATCTTTTTTTTTCAGTCTGTGCTCACCAAATGAATTGATTAAATTCATTACCAAAGACACTAGAGCTTTCCTACATTTTGTGAATCTGTTTAAGTTATACACAATTCGCTGCCTACATTACAATTCAATCAGGGGTTTATACTGGCTTAGACATCAGTTCATCTCTTCCTGAAGAAAATATTATTTCCAAAACGTTGAAGTAAAGTCAAGATAAGGAAAGAACGAAATGAAAGATACTGAATTAGAAAAAGAAACGGGTTTTGACGATAGATACTATTACTTTACATTGCATATTACGCTTGTTTTACGAGGCATTCGTGTGATTAAAGCTGCTCAAGACGATATGAAGAACAATTCGGACCAAGAAGATAAACTCTAGCTACACAGGTTAGGAAAAAAATGCACCTTTTCTAAAAAAATGAATGATCCCGCAACCCGGCAGGATGGAAATACTATTTTTGTAAATGCAATGCCTTCATATTAATTTTTTGTTCTTTGAAGCAGTCACATAAAAGATGAATGCAAAGTGACAACACTACATTTGTTGAAATGCAGTTCTTTTTATTTTAGAACATGAACTTTTGAAGCTTATCTTTTGATAAGGCACAACTCAAGTATATGCCAGTTTAAGAGTAGGAAAATATTTTTTTTTCTTTATTTTTTGTAACATTTAGAAACCATTGGGGTATACCTCTTCATTGGAACCAAAACAAATCTTTAAATCACCTCTTTTTATATGTGTATGATTGGAAAGTTATCATAGATACCCATTTATCATTTGGAATTGGGAATTTTGACAATGTTTTGGATTTGATTTTCTGTTTTATGCACGGTTTCATACCGATATGAAAATTAATGTGCCCTTTGTTGGTTTTGAACGACTTTCGATGGTATTTACTTATATTACAATCGCTTGGAATTCGCGAGTGTTACTTGCACAGAATAAAATCGTGCTGAAGACTTATTTGATTTCTCCGCCGTATTTAAACTTAGGTAAACCAATTTATCGATTTGGTTTACCATTTACCATTTTGGTTTACCATTTAACATTTAGGAAAATACCTTAGTTACCAAAACCGGAACTGGTAATTTCAAAAATAGGTAAAACGTCATTGTACGTCAATTGAAATAAACAATTCAGAGGTGTTTCGAATGTAAAAAACAAAGACAAGGATAATACAAAGTTTTAGAGTTAACAATGTTTAAACATACTTATACAAGAAATATATAATAACAAAAGTCATATAATATTAATTTTTGAATGTTTTTGTGAGTATTTTTTTTTTTACATTTTTAGACGTTGGTATACATTTGTGAGGATTTCAAGAATACTCATTTCTAAAATTTTAACAGTCTGAAATTAAAAAACAAATGTCTCTTTATAGATTGGATAGTTTGAAATGTTTGATAAATCTATAAAATCAGACCCAGTTGCATGCTAAAAGCATTGAAAAGTGTTGTCTTAGTGTCTATATATAATGAACAATTAGGTAAAATTAATATGAATTGTAGAAATACACATACTATTTTCTGACTGTACTGTATATTCTAATTATATTTGTTTTAGGTCCTTTTTGGTCAAATAGTTTCTTACGTTTCTAAATATGAATTCATCTCTGACTACAATATGATTGGGTCTGATCGTTAAAGATTACAGCAATTTCAAAAAGAGGTTCAGAAGCACGAAATTTAATGTTCATTGTTACAAGAATATTTTCATCATAAGTTGTTTTGTAAGAAAGTCTCTTTAAGTTATAACAAGGAATACGTATGTGCTTAGTCTATAAAGTATATATGTTATTTTGTTTTTCTTTGTTGACATAAATGTTTGATTTTATATTGATTAAGTTAATGATACAATGTTGGCTGCTGTACCCCAACTGATGACATTTTACCTATTATGTCTGTGGTTTTGCTCACTCATTGTTGTCGATAGAATGGTATTTTATGCGACAGTCATACAAGTGAGAGATTTAGCTTGCTATAAAACCAGGTTTATTCCGCCTTTTTGAACACAAGGGAATGCCTGTACCAAGTCAAGAGTATGACACTTGTTTTTCATTCGTTTGACGTCAAATAAAACAATTCAAACAGGAAAACAACGTTCTAATTTATATAAAAAACGAGAAACGAGAACCACCTATGAACCACACTAACAAACGACACCCACTGAACAATAGGCTCCTGACAGGTGCATAAAAATGCAGCGGGTTTAAACGTTTTAACAGGATCAAAACATTCCCTCAAACCAGAGACAGTAGTGTAACATTACAACATAAAATAAACACTGTAAAATATCAATTGAAATGGCTTAACTCAATCGAAAAGACATTTAAAAAAAAACAAGTAAACATACACTGAACGAATTAGTTTGATCTATGAGACAACCTAAATACAATATTAAAACGTAGGTGCCTATATAGCATAGACGTAACAGGTAATAATAAAAAAGATGTAGGAAGAGTTTCAATAAGACATGTTTTACCTTGGACAATGGCGTTAAATAAAACAACGTACACAAGGAGATTTTGTCTGATTTATAACATTAGGAAGAGTTTCAATAAGACAACTTTTACCTTGGACAATGGCGTTAAATAAAACAACGTATACAAGGAGATTTTGTCTGATTTATAACATTTAATCGAAGTCAGTACCACTTAATTCAAATGAATTGATAAAAGACGCATGAACATAGAGCGAAGGTGAGAGAAAATGTTTAATAATTTTATATCAATCTTAATTTTGAAAATATATATTTTATTGTAATTGACCGTTGTATATTGCAAGTGTGAAATTGAACAATGTTTTTATGCCATGTTTCATTATTTGTTCGTCAGTCCGTCATTGTCTTATTATTTTTAAATGGGAACAACTTTTTGGGCATACTACTCATTTCATATCCTGTAATCGAAATTATTCTACGATATGAAGGTGTTGTACAGGCTGAATTATCCCTTATTTTATCATTACTATTTATCGAACAGACATTTTGATATAAAAACACATGAAAGCATGACACAAATGAATTTAAGATTAGAAATTGTTATTTCTAAAATTGACACTATAACATGTATAACACGTTAAAAACGTCACCACTGAGAAGAACAAAACATGCAGGACTTTGGCTAAATATGACATGGGATTCCAGTTTTTTAACGTAGACAAAAGGATGGACGAAAGGTAAAGCAAACTTGTGGTATTTTCTTTTTAGAAAGTTGTTAGTACCAACGTTTCATTCAGCATTGCTCAATAAATATTCTATTTTAATATCATTGTTTTTCTGATTCATGAATTTCAGGGTGCATACATTTGTCATTTTCATGGTAAAATACTATTTTCAACGTTCCCTATACATTAATGCATATCCTTATAATCAGGCATGGGAAACGATTCAAATAATATTTATATGGACTTCATTTACAATGCTGTAGTAGCACACTAAGTTTCAACCAAGTTTGATAACACCTTGTTGACTGTTTTTCATTGTTTGATGATAGGCTGGTAGTTAACTACTGTATATTCAGAAATTATTGCGTGCATTTATTATTGCGAATTTGTCATTTTAGACTAAAATGCTATTTTAATTTTTGCGATATTGAGAAAAATCCTGTTCAATTCATATAAAAAATTTCAAAATGCGAGTTTAAATTATTGCGATCATAACCCTGTCGCATTTTTCGCAATAATTAAAACATCCCAATAATTTCTGAATTTACAGTATATGAATACACTGAGAGGAAAAATCAAGATATTTCCGCTTAAACATAGCTTTTTTGCACGGAAACAAACATTATCTGATGCAACAAAAAATCATCCCTAACCTCCAACAAGGGGTTTTATATTAAAAAAGTAGAAACGATTGTTGTACATAAGACTTTCAATTGACGGTTTTCAAACTTGTGCGTGATAACTTTTTAGTAGAAGGGAATATTCGAACCCAAGTCTCAGTACAAAACTCCAAAGAGTTTTAAAGTTAGAGAGTGGAAACTTTTTTTTTCACATATGCACAGGGATCGCTAAATTAAACTAATACAAAAATAAAAGGAGATGATTTATAATTGTAATTGAGACAAATATTTACCATCAGAGACCATTTAACAAGGACATAAATAACTATATGCCAACAATGAGCAAAACTCATACCCTATAGTAAGCAATAACAGACATGACTAAATGTAAACAATTCAAACGAGAAAACAATCAGTCTGATTAATCAATTAAAAACAATGGTGGAAACACATATATAGAAAACGGCAACCAACTACCACTGAATTGTGGACTCCTCACTGGGGACCGGCACATAAAGACTATAGTATGGTTAAAATCTTTGTGAGTCAAAGTGATCTACCCTTCACCTATCATGAGACAATGGTAGAACAGCACAACATGGCGACGAACGTACTTTTTCACCACATCTTTTAATGTTTCTTATTTGTGACACCCTTTTTAGCAGTGTTGGATTATCACGCCATAGACTAGTTGCAAAATAAGATAAAAAGTTCACAAAGTCATCACATCATTTCCCTGTTTCATATATAGTTGATACCCAGGGTATTGAATAACTTTCACAATGATCGATATATATCTCTGATTTCGGTATTTAGAAAAAGAGAAAGGTAAAATACGGGCCTATATTGAAAAAATCACATAAACAAAATCAGAAGAAAAATAGAAAATATTTATTAACAATACATACCTGCATAAACAGTTTATATATGACCAACGTTTTATGATTTATGTCATTTAAAACATGTACAATATAAATAAGCATTAGTCACTCAATCTTAAACAACAACAAAACCAAAAGTTTCTCATACTAATGAAAGATATTGGTTATTCGAAATATTTATTTATTTTATGTCTATTTGCCAATATTCTCTCTTGAAATTATTTTTTCGAATTGTTGTAAACTTTTAAAGACATACATTTTATTTATTTATTTATTGTGTACAGTATTGTTGTTTTTATTGATCAAACGCCTTGAAAGAATGATCGTTGACTATTCTCTAGACTTTATATATATTTATAAATTAATTCAACAAGTTCACAAATATCTATCTCTTTTATCAACTTTTGCTTTAGAAAGTAACATTTTTTTTTTTGAAAAATGACAATTCAGAAGTATATAAGAAAATAGACGATGGCAAAAAAGGAAAATGATTAATGAAGAATTATTTTGGCATTTTGACTATTTTATCCCGCTTATGATTAGACAAAAGACAGCTTCAATCAGAAAATATATATTTTTTAATAAAGGAAGAAAAAAAATAATAAAAAAACCAATACGACAATGTAAGCCTTCAATATATTTATAGCCTTCAATATAGTTTTTAACATATGAAAATACTGATTAAAGCATTTCCTTAATATTGTTTACTGGTTAATGTCATAAGGAAACCTTTTTTTTTTTTCTTCTTTTTTTTTTTGTAGCAGAGCAATTTATCAAATCTATCATTTTGAATATTATGAAAATTGTATTAAAGAAATAATGCCCCTCAAATTTAAAATCATGAACACATCCTATTAAAAATATATTTCAGATCAGATTTAACCTGTATTATGTTCCTGATGTCTAATCAGTTTCATAAAAGCTATGAAATACTCAACTTAAAATATCTCTAAACTTTTCAAATACTATAGCAAATAAATAAATCAAATCATACAAAATTATCAATAAATTTCTTATTATGTATTTCATGCTTATAGTACCCTTTAACTTTTACGATTTTGGATTTTGTTTTAATCTTACAAACTATCATAATAATTACATTTTCAATCTATAGGAAGATCTTAAAGGGAAACTGTATCTGCATTCTAGTTGATGTTACTCGCTGATTTAATAAGTTTGGTTTATTATGATATTTATAATAACCAGTATATATGATGAAATTTACAAATTAAAGTGAAATCTACAACGGATTTCATTTAACTACCAAACCGTCGATTTATTGCAATGACCATTACTTATCATTTATAAAACAATGACAACAAATAGAGAACGTAATATATGTTTCTTTAGTCTGATTACTCTCACACTATTATTCAATGAAATACAATATTCATATTTTATTTGCTGATAATTAAGTCACAAATGTATCTGAAGATTCTTATACTCCATATTTTCAAATAATTAAAATTTGATAATAAAATTATCTCAATAAGGCCTAATAACACAATTATTGAGAATATACCAATTCCTTATTACAATAAATGCCAATTAAAAAAACAGTTTAAATCTATGATTACAGATTTCCAAAGACCCTTAATAAATCTTGGAGTCAGGTTGACCTACTCTTTATTGTATTGTACTACACCCCTCTAGAAGCTTCTTTATACCGATTTATGTGTTAGAACTCGCCTACTTTCTGAAATCTGAACATGGACTCACAACTTATTCATGTTATTATTAGTGATGAATTTCAAAAACAGAATCAACTCCCGGTCCATAAAATATAGGCATGTTACCTACATTTTATTGCATATGGTCCGTCTCACAAAGATGCATCTGCATAATTATAGTCCTGTATTTATATTATTATTTGTCTTTCTTACAGGTATCTGCATATAAGCACGCGTAGGCGCATTACCTTTTATGATGATGAAAAATTGTACATAACATATTTAAGATAGACACTTCACTTGCAGACAATAATAATCAAAGGGAGATAAGTGTGTTATCACACTTTAAAACTGTTTTGTGTTTTAAAAGGAAGTCTGTCCATACTCATGAGTTCAGAAAAGGTATGGTTTCACAAAAATAAGAATTTTAGTGAATTTACATTTATTCGTAATAAGACGTTGCTTGCATCCTCCTTGGTATTGGCATTGAAGTCCTTCGATCAAAATGTTATTAACTAAACATTTATCAAGACATTTTACATTTATTTTTGTTTTGTTTGTGTTTGCTTCGTTCCTGTTCATGCCATTCTCCAGAATCATCCTTTTCAACAGTTACCCAATTGTTTTCACCTGCCAAAAGATTGTTTTAATAACAAATTTATACCATTTTCATATATAGTTTACTCCAATAGTTTATTGATTATGTATATATAAATAATTAGAAGCCTATAAATAGCAAAACATAAAATACAAATCTATTTAAATGTTGATTATTCAGAACTAAGATTAATTCAATTACACAAATACAATTATAGATTGCTTAGCAATTTGATTGTAACACACTTTTTAATATGTAAATATTAAATAATATTTCAAAAATAATGAACGCAATATTTCGGTAGACAAACTAGATTCATCCAGTGTGCATCTATCCAGGAGCCTCAGGTGCAAATAAAAAAAACATTGGCAGATCGTTGTACGTTTTGGTCAATCAGATCTTATTTTGCTGCGTTAAAATTAAGATGACGTTCAAGTTAAAAAAGAAATAGAATTACATTGTTGACTAATCTTTATGTATTTCAATTTGTGTACTAATTAATCCAAACTCAAACATATTATATATAGATATTCAGCTATGTGTCCATCATCTGTGCAAAAGTAAGGACCTCTAACTATTATAAATTGCTATACATTCATTTTGAATGTTTCAAGGTTGAATAAAATATCTTTCATTTTAAGTAACGTTTGTCTTTGTTCTAATTTCATGTTGTTTTTGTTTAGCTTTTTCGTATATGTTGTTCAATGCCAGTAAAACGATTTTTGTATTGATTTTGTACCTTATTTATGATGGTTTTTTTGGTCGATTGTCTAGATTTTAATTTGATCTAGGGGAGCCTTCTTGAGAATAGTTAAGCAAAATAGAGACAACACAATAGTCTTCATTTATAAATGTCCTTCCACACACATATAAATAAATATAGACTGAAATATTCTCAATTTCTATGTTAATGTCAAAATATTTATAATTAACCTGAATCATTCTGTGGCACAGCTTTTCTTGTTGTCCTTTTTGTTAAAGCATTCAGTATTTCATTAAGACTAAAGTAATGATGGTCTGGAATTATTAAAAAAAAATTATCAATTCCCTCTTAACATTTTATTTTCTAGCGTCTGAAATATGTTGTCCACATGCTCTAACTATGGAATGAAAATTGAAATGTATCAAGCAGGAAATGGCTTAGTCAAGCTTTTTCAAACTGAAATAAATTCTATCAAAACTGATTTTTCAACCCTGTATACCACCATTGCCCATCTGAAAACGAAAAATCGTCTAAAAGAAATAATCCACAATGCTTTTCAATATGAAAATGGTAGCATACACTATAAATTTATTGCTTTGATATACCATACGGCATATTTTGTTAATAGTGGACAAACACGTAAAACATGCTACACAGAGGAACAAGTGATCAGTATGCTGGACATATTTGTAGAATTTGGAGGTAGACTTTTGCAACAAATTGTCAACATTCTTATTGGCCTCTCCTTGCCGATCTCTTCTTATTTTAATATGAGTCGGAGTTCCTTCAGACACTTGTCAAAACAAGAAGATTAAAGAAGCCAGATCAGTTAATTTCAACTTTAGATATATTGATGATGATCTTTCCATTAACAATCCAAAATGTTCTGATCATGCTGATTGAGTTTCATTAATATATCCCCAAGAACTAGAAATTAAAGACACAACAGATACGGATTCCTCCGCCTCATGTTTTGATTTATACCCCGGAATTGACATAAACTGTTATCTCAGTACGAGAATATATGACAAACGAGACGATTTTAATTTTGTAATCATAAATTTCCCCACCTTAGCACCAATTTACTAACTGCACCTTCATATGGGATATGCATTTCTCTAATCATTCGGTGTTTAAAAGCTTGCAGTTGCTACTCGGATTTTCTTAAACGTCACAAGTGTCTGAGCAGAAAGTTGATGAGCCAGGTTAATGTCAAAGAAGGTCTCGTCCTTTTTCTTAATAAGTTCATCGAAAGATACCAAGACCTTGTTGATAAATATTCCGTATCAACTTCACAAAACATAATACATGATGGTCTTGAAGTATAGATTCTAGGTACTGACGTTGTTTATCATCTTAATTACGTGTTATAATGTTCTTTTTATTTGTCTTTGTATACTGTTAACCTTTACTGTTTAGTTCATTTTTGGTAATATACTTTTGGCATTGCTCGGTATTTATACATCCCATCATTGTGTTACTGTGCTATTGTAATTTTTGTATTTTTGTCTTTCATTTTCGCTTATGTCCTTTGTCTATAGAGTGTCTATATGCCATTTTATTTTTCTTTGTTCAAATAGTTATTTGTTTTTATTGTGATTAAGATTCTTACACAATGTAATCTGCTGTACCCCGATTTTTTACATTTTTACCTATTATGTCTGTTTGCTTTGCTCACACATAGTTGTCAATATAATGGAATTGAATGCGACTGTCATAAAAATGAGAGAATTTCTAGCTATAAAACCAGGTTTAATCCACCATTTTCTACATAAGGAAGTGCTTGTACTAAGTCAGGATTATTACAGTTGGTTTCCTTTTGTTTTATTTAATTAAGCTTTTGATTTTGACATTTGATAAAGGAATTTCCGTTTTAAATTTTCTATTGAATTCGGTATTTTTGTCATTTTACTTTTTACAGTTTGTTTTTATTGAGTGCACATGAAAATGTTAATGATAAATGATAAACTCCGCCGAAATCTAGATATATCTGTCCAAAGTCGGGAGCATGATATCAGTCATATTCATCAATCGTTTATTCTTTTGGTCATAAATCAGGCTGTTTGAACAGTTTAACATATTGTCATGTCGGGGCTTTTTATATATGACTATACGGTATGGATGTTGCTCAATGTTGAAAGCCCGTTTCTCTAATTCTTCGTCAATTTATCCCTCTCTGCACCCATTGTATAAAAAAAATTAATCAACGTGTGGTTCGTTTGATCTCAGTTCTTCATTGGTTAAAATCCGATTATGACGTCGAATTTTCTTGCTTTCCTCTGAATTTCCTATTGTGACGGCATGAAAAAAGGCGACCATGCCTGATGACGTCACATAGAAAGAACACATCTTTTTTTGCAGATCATTCAAAAAGAAGGAATAAGTTTGCCTGCATATTGTTTGAAAATCATTAGAGAAACAGATTCCACCACCAAATCTCGTGTAATACGATATTTATCCACTCTCGACAGTTAAATTTTAAATATTTAAAACGCTCGGCGAGCCTCGCGTATTAATTTTGAAAATTTAACTGTCTCGAGTGGATAAATATCGTATCACACTCGATGCAGTGGTAGAATCTATATATATATACAATGTATACTAAGATGCATTATAATACTATGATGCAGTAGTTGTAAATTTACTGATACTATATCATTACACACAATGAAAACGAGGCGCTCTAAATAGCCTATGTCGCTCAAATAAGGGTCATGTGAATCTTCAACTGGTAATTTTTGTTGCTTACAGTTTCTATCTTTTAAAATATACAATGTATACAGTGACCTATAGTTGTTTAAATGCACGTCATAATTGTTATAAGGATTGAGATCTCACAAAACATGTTTAACCCCGCCGCATTTTTGCGCCTATCCCAAGTCAGGAGCCTCTGGCCTTTGTTAGTCTTGTATGTTTTTTTAATTTTAGTTCATTTATATGTTTTGGAGTTTAGTGTGACGTCCATTTTCACTGAACTAGTACACAATTTTATTTAGGGGAAAGCTGAGGACCACGTCCGGGTGCGGGATTTTCTCGCTGCGTTGAAGACCCATTGGTGACCTTCGGCTGTTATCTGCTCTTTGGTCGGGTTGTTGTCTCTTTGACATATTCCCCATTTCCATTCTCAATTTTATCTCATTGGCAACTTACCACATCTACTTATTTCCATATTAATGGTACAGCATATGACAAAAAGGCCTATATTAAGCTTGGAAGCAGAATTAAAGTTGTTTTTTTTTCTATGGATAATGATAACAGTTATTTATAATAAAAAAAATATTTTGGACAAGCTGAAGCCAGCTTTCAGAATCAAAGTATATCCTCTTAAAAGTACCATAATTTTAACAGCTTCTAATTATCATGTATACAAACCCGGTTTTCTTTGTCTCAGAAGAGTTAAGGCATCTCTTACTTGTTCCTTTGTATATCCCATTTCTAGAGATTGTTTTACAGCTTGTATTTCCATATCATCTGTCCACGAATAAAATCTCAATTAAGATCTTCAATTATTTTTTTTCTCACAAAATCAGCCATACAATTATGATACTAACATGCAGTAGTTGTAAATTTACTGATACTATATCATTACCCACAATAAAACAAGAGGCTCTAAGTAGCCTATGTCGCTCAAATGGGACCATGTGAATGTTCAACTGGTCATTATTGTTGTTTACAGTTTCTCTCTTTTATAGTTTTGGCACAAATTCAACATAGGGTAAAATATCATCATAATTTAATGGCAATATCTCCTATATGGATTAGACAGACAATTTATGCCACATGTATATGACTTATTTATTGATTTTATCTTGCTGGGAGTAGATTTGTTTTCCCAATTAATTGTATATCATTTCTTCCAATGGTTGAAATACAGCTAAGATTATTTTTTATAACATCAACAATTCATTACTAGACAGCAGCTACTAAAATTTCAGTTTGGAAGAAAGACGTATGTTATTTATGACTTTATATATATAAATGTTCTTATTATCATTAGTTGCATATGTTAAGTACAAAATTAATGGCATTTAGAAAAACGTTTGAAAAATAAGGAACGAATTGGATTACACACTCGAACAGTTTCTTTCAAAAGAGTAATTGATTAAACTCTTTAAATTAGTTCTTTTTAAATCACACATTTATCTAAAGTTGTAAGTGAAATACAGAGTGCAGTGTTTTATATATAGTCATATTTTAAAAACAAGTTTTTAAAATACTAAACCCCTAACGGGAGGGATTGTACTTGATTTTCATATGATGAAGACATAATCTTTCAATCAGTTTAATTGAGGTCTGGAGCTGGCATGTAAGTAACTGCTAGTAGTCCTTTGTTAATTTATGTATCATTGTCATTTTGCTTAGTTTCTTTTGTTACCTAATCTGACATCGGACTCGGACTTCTTTTAAACTGAGTTTTACTGTGCGTATCGCTGTGTGTTTCTTTATTCTACATTGGCTAGAGGTATAGGGGGAGGGTTGAGATCTCACAAAACATGTTTAACCCCACCGCATTTCTTGCGCCTGTCCCAAGTCAGGAGCCTCTGGCCTTTGTTAGTCTTGTATGTTTTTTAATTTTAGTTCATTTCTATGTTTTGGAGTTTAGTATGACTTCAATTTTCACTGAACTAGTACACATTTTTATTTAGGGGCCAGCTGAGGACCACCTCCGGTTGCGGGATTTTCTCGCTGCGTTGAAGACCCATTGGTGGCCTTCGGATGTTTTCTGCTCTTTGGCCGGGTTGTTGTCTCTTTGACATATTCCCCATTTCCATTCTCAATTTTATTATTATTCGATTTCACTTGGTCTTTTATGTATAGTTGTCAGATTGATAATCATACCACATCTCTTAATGTTATACTAACGGTTTTTTTGTTGCTATGTAGTGATGCTGTACTTTCTATAAAATATTAATACTAATATTTCATAATTGAGGGTGTTTTGATCACGCTGAAGTCAGATTTCAGAATTAAGCCATGTCCACTTAAAAACAATACCATGATTCTAACACATCTTATTAGCATGTATACACACCTGGTTTTCTTTGCCTCAGAAGAGTCAGGGCATCTCTTACTTGTTCATGTGTATATATAATTTCGACAGATTGTTGTACAGCTGGTATTTCTATATCATCTGTTAAAGTTTAAAGTAAGTCATTTCATTATTTTACGTAGGTGCATTTGTTGTAGATTTTCCGATAGTTAATCGGGTGACCAAATAAATAAATATCGACTCTACAGGACCTATGACGCTAAAATGAGACTCTGTGTATCTTCAAATTATATGTTTTGTAGCTCACGGTTTTTCTCTTCTACCGTTTAAACCAAAAAAATAAAAGAGGGTAAAACTCAGCATTATGTAAGGGCAATAACTTCTAGAAGCAGTTGACAGGCAATATCAGCCATTTTTGTTTTTCAAAAAATTTACAAAACAATTTTATTAAATAACCCATCAAAACCTGTCAGTTGATTTTCTTTGGAAAACAGTTATGTTTCGAAGTTGTATGAATGGATAAAAACCATCTATAATTTGTAAAGGCAAATATTTCAAAATCTATCTTTTTTATATATATACAGTGGTATTCTATAAGTACATACCTAAACTCGGTTCATTTAGCGCTTCATGGGGGAACTCACAGCTTATTGATGCTAAAATAAGAAACGATTTATTATGTTATTTTCAAGCAGTTAAATATCTTTGATAATTAAAATTTGAAACAGTTTTATATGGGCATTGCATAATATGATATTTTCACTTAATGTTTAAAACATTGATTTATGAATACTACTCTGTATTCCAACAATCGGTAGGATGGCATGTTTTCATGTATATGAGTTAAATACATTTAACATGCCTACAATAAAAGCTATCAGACTGTCATACAAGTATATGAATGCTATCCACTGTCATAAAGTAAGAGGTTAAGCTAGCTATAAAACCAGGTTTAATCTACCATTTCTACATAAAACAATGCCTGTACCAAGTCAGGAATATGACAGTTGTTATCCAATTTATCTGAATTTGCCATTTACTTAGGGACTTTCCGTTTAGAATTTCCCTCGGAGTTCGGTATTTTTGTAATTTTACTTTTTGTTTTTATGTATTGGTTTTGTTGTGATTAGTTATACCGTTGTCATAGAGCTTAGTTGATTACCGTACAAAATTAAAATCCTGGTATGTATGAGTATTTTTCCAATCATTGGATCGATACCACTGATGGATGAGGTTGTCTTCGCAAGGGTATTACCAGCCCGTATCAAGCACTTCTGTGTTGACATTGATATGGTCATAATTGAAAATTAACTGTTTACTAAACTTTAAATTTTTCGAAATATAAAAATGTAAAGTGCTAAAATCACATGAAACACTTTGGTTTTTCTTCTCCATTGTATATATGGCCTTCGCCCATTTTGGACTGTTTGTCCTATTTTCAATGCTCTGCAAGTTCGTAATTGATATAGCCTTCAGAACTGTTTTCATGATATGTATGTAGACGAAATAAAAATGAACTATGACAATGCTTTCAAAGATATGCCATCAAGCTCAAGTATCTTAAAGGTCTAAAAGAAAAACGATATAAGAGTTTAGAAAATATCCCTACTGCTACCTATAATTCAATCATTAGTTATTACTCAAATAAAGTGAACAGACGAGGTACCTTGTAAGTTATAGACGTATGGACATGTGGTTGGATTACACTACTTGTTTTGCACTAAACCCTTCCTACCCCGTTATTTTTTTTATAACTCAACTATCAGTATCCTTATTTAATGCATTAATTCATGATTATTTCTGAAATTAATTGTTTCATAGAATTGATACGGTTGATGACGTCTTCACTATATAGTTTCATAGGTGAATTCCAAATTTAATACAACAATTCACTAAAAATCTTTTTCAAAACCATTTTATTGTGCTTCATTTTTCATGTTTTCTACCTTATAGCAATATAGTCATGCTACAAAAATCCGAAATTGATATCTTATATTGTACACTTTAAATAGCTAAGAAGTCTCAGAAAATACATATTAGATATTAGTTCTGAAATCTAATGTATTTTGTATGAAATTTTTAATTGGAGGAGTCTCGTGTTAGTAGTTGATGTGGTATGTTGCTCTGTCAAGTATTTTCATTTTCTCTTATTCTATCCTATTTATATTTAAATAAGTTATGAGCTAACATCTTAATTCTTGCTTTTCAATTTCTGAAATTTTATCAAAAGTCTTAAATGAACAACGATTGACTGTCCCTCTGGTATCTTTCGTCCCTCTTTTGCAGTTGTTATTCATAATTGAAAATTGTCTAGCAATTGTTTAACTGATTTTGTCACATTTTGCCATTTATATTTTTTACTATTTCCCCCTATTTCTCATTGTTCTCTATTTTCTGTTCGGAGAAGGGGCATGTGGTCAGATCATCTGTATTTTGTAACGGTGACAGTTATTCTTTTTAAGGTCTAATGAAAATGTTGAATTTGAAAACGATTTGGTTATCAGCCATAATTTAAGATCTGAAACGTAATTGTCAATTTTACTTAGGCAAGTGAGGTTAATGGTAAAAAATGCAAAGGAATGTGTTTTTAAATCGTCGGACGATGATTAGGCGGACAATGGCCAAAGCAAACATTTAACGCTCATATTGACTATGTTTCAGTTACCATAAACGATAAATAGAGTTATAGAAACCTTAAATCATTAGTTATTGAAAGAGGTAACGCAATGATTTAAAGTCAGAAGATCAGGAAGTGTGATTAAGCTGCGAAGTATAAAACACAATTCTGTTATAACAATTATAATCATTCCTTTACATACTCGGTTCAATTTCGTCGTGTATGTCATCTGTTTGAACAAATTTCTCATCTGTAGGCGTGTCAGGTAATTTTTCTGAAATATTCACTGTAACGAACAAAAATAATACTCTTAGTCAACTGTAACTGGCCAAAGCTAATTTTAACTCTATACAACTTACAAAAATGTATAATATACTTTTTATACCGGCATTCCTTGTCTTGCATTATTTTTCAGAAAGCGTTTTTGCATTTTTTATAATTTTTATTGTGTGATAAGTTTTCGGTTGGAACACAAATCATTAAGCTCTTATCATATACTATTCATTACATGTTTAGTTTAGAATAGCCAAGTGGCTCAAAGAAGATTCAAATAATATTTCCCTTAGAGTCTAACGTACACTTGTTTGTTTCACAAATACAAAATAATATTGTTATCTTCCATGAGTCAATTCTGAATATCTCAACTCATGTTATGATATTTAACCAACAACTACGGAAAAGCAAAACTGCTTTTTTAGAAAAAAAAATTTAAAAATGAGTTTTTATATGTTTATTGCCACATTAGGATTTAAAAAAATATCTAAAAATAAGATTATTTACATCTTAAATGAGTATTTGGTATTGTTTCAGAAGTTACATGTCTTCCAATTGTCATAACCTAAACATGCTAAATAAAATCCTGATATCATATTTTGAAAATGTGTTTTGCAAAAATATGTTTACGATAGTTTAGAATATATTTCAATTTGCTTTTTAGGGATTCGTTGTATATTGAAATGCATGCATCCTCATAAGTCATCTTAGGTGAAGATATACTCTAACAAATTCACATGAATATACATGTCAATTTGTTAGAGTATATCTTCACCTAAGAGGATTTACGAGGAAGCATGCATGCGTTTGCATTACAAACACTTCAATTAACCATAAAAAGAAACGTCAGAATTTCACAACTACATGCAAATGTGGTATTGACAAATCAGTGCAAATTTATTCATGTTCATAGTAAATGCTTTGAGTAAGTTATCAATTTTAATTGGACCTTGATTACCCTAAAGTAAATCACTGTTAATAAGAATATAGAAATATACAATCTCGATAATAATATGCTCATGAAGCACATGCATATGATTTATGTTGTAATCTAATTCCTTTAGACCTTTCAATTTTTTAAATCTTCACCTTCAGTTTGAACGGCTTTTTCATCTGTAGATGTGTTTGGTACTATGCAGGTGACGTTCACTAAAAGGCAAATTTTTAAGCTAAACATCTAAAAGTTTATACAATATTATAGGTGGTAAAATATATATAAAGGAAAAGGTATGATTGACCAATTTCTTGCTCCGTGGATTCAAACTGAAATGAAAAAGCATTATATATCTCCCATATAATATCATCAGTTGTTCTTGTTATATAATGGTGTCAGATAATATGACATTATTATGACATCAAGATCTAACCACAAATAACCGTATGACGAACGATCGGTATAAACTAGAATTGATATACTTCGCGTGTTTTTTTACAAAGTTCACTTTAAAGGTAGACCAAGTTGGTTTCCTGTAAGAAAATTTTTACCGACCGTGCGAGGGCTGTATAGCCAGTCCAGGTCGTTTAAACCTCCCATCATCAATGTACACAAGTAAAACACAAAACCAACGTGACAAAAAGCAACCAACGACAACCACTGGTATGTATATATTGAGACACTACAGAAACTTATTTGGACCATTATAGCTTACACAGCACATAAGCTAAAGTGCTACTAAAAGAACATTTCCTTTTTATAATATAACTATGTAACTACGTAAGTGCATTTAGATTCACAAACCTTCATTAGCATTCAAAATATGAATCGTTACGTAAACTCTACAAGGTATTTCTGTGTTGATATCACAGTCTTCTATCATTTTCGTAAGAAATGATATGACTGCAGCTTCAAATGCTTCAGGATCACTGAGTATACTTGATGCTATCGTTGTCAACATAATCAAAGAGCCTTTCCTCACAAACTTCTTCTTAAATTGTTCATCACTGTTTGATGGATTTCGTAGTGTTGCTTCTACTGCTTCTAGGTTCCAGTGCTCAGGAGTGGCTATTTGCCAAAGGACAGGACATTCCATTGAATCTAATTTTAAAATAGAACTATTGTATCTTTTTTTCTACAATTAACAAACAAACACAATCATAATATCATATTGCACAGTCTTAAAATTTTTTTTATGAATATAACGTTGCTGTTATAAGGAAACTCATTTTTTTCTTAAAAATACAACACAGGCTTCATAGTAATCGAGTGCTATAATGCAACTTATTACATATATAAAGATATTCTACCTGCACTTGTTTCCTCAGGTACAAGTAGGTTAGCAGGTCTTTCATACTTCACTAACAGCGTTAAGTTCTGTATTGCTCTTAATATTTCCACTAAAATAGAATCAACAAATGACAAAACATTAATAATATGTATTTCGAAGAATTTTTAAAACCTAGATGAACAAACATTTAAACTTGTTGTACCTTCTTATCTTTTGAACCCTTTTTGTTTTCGCAGTAAGGAAATTAACAACAAACACAATCAACAAATAGGATAGAAAAATTAAATTACAACCAACAATAAGATAACAAAAGGTGACACCAAAGAGACAGAGAAAAAAGATAAAAAATAGGGTGAAAGGAATAAAAAAGAAAATTGACATAGGCAACATGGGTTAGAATATTTTAAACCTGATAAAAGAAACATAAAAACAACAGAGTTAACGAATTATGCAGATATGAAAAAATAAAAAAAATAAAGTCCTGTTTAGAATATACAATTCATGTAAAAAACATAACATTTCGAACTGGAAAAATATATAAAAACTTTGCCTTGTGTCTTCTCTTGGTTTTCTTTTACTTCCTTGATCTCTGTCCTGGTTTCGTGCAGTTGGTTTCCTAACTGTTGAAACCTGCTTGCATGAGATTTTTTAACTTCGTCGACCTCGTATTTGATATAGCTTTCTAAGTTCTTCTCTGTATTTTGTATCTTTTCTGAGAGTGCTTTTTGTGCTTTTGCTGCAGAGACGCTTGTTTGTTCAGTTGTATGTTGTTTGATGTCTTTTGTATTATTGATTGACAGACTTTCAAGTCTGCCTTCCATACTTTTACAATGCCTGACATTGTTATTACAGGCGGATTTCAGCTCTTGTAATACCTTAGATTTAGTATTTTTTTTAAACTAGTAATAGATGTGCTCCTAAAAACTATAAATAATCAGACCAATAACGCATTTGTGAGCCTAACATCAAACGAGCGTATCTTTTACTGTAAACAATGTACTTATCGTCATATTTGCTTCAGAGGCTTTGCAAACATTGCCTAAGGTCATATGACATATTATTAACCTATACATTAATTGATATGGTCAATTTGAGTGTCAAACCAATTTGGCTAATAAGAATATCGATTGTGATTTAGCGAAAAAAAGGATTTCTCTAGACCTAGGAGGTTTCCCCTTGGCCTACAGAATGCAGCTGCCTATATTGTTTGGATCGATCAAATAGTAAGAAGGTGGGTCGAGTTTAACAGATTTTTTGGACAAAGGTATTTAACAGACTCCTTCCCAGTTTCTATAATTCAGCTTGGATCAAATGATTTAGGTATATTTGACATCAGGGAAACTATTCAGGAAAATAAAATGTGACCTGCTTCGGTTACAGACATTATATTCACCTAAGAAAAAATAAGGTCCGATATATATTAATGAGACCGTATTGACACAATGCCAATAATATTGTGGAAAAGCCATTGGAAGGGATCGCAAGATAGTGAATCTCCGGGTATAAAAATTGGTTCTGCAATCGGTGGATACGCAATGAAGCACAGTAATAAACGTACTAAAGAAAGCAATTTGTACAGATATGATGGGACACAAAGCTAGGTAATGATGGTGTTCTAAACAATTTACAAGGAGCACTTGAAAGGTTCATGATACCCGGAGTACCAGTAATAAGAAGCTGTTATTGATAGAATAACATGATAAACTCTGTTCGGGACTTCAATATGATGCCAATCAGTTTAAGATGGGTTTTGAGGTGAATTCTTTGGCAGTGCATGGATATACTCCACTTATTTGACGGGATATAACAAGACGAAAATCAAACATTTCCCCATATTGTACGCTAGCTTATGTTTGTGGTTCTCTTCTGTGTTTTACAGAGATTAGATTGGGTCTTCTTTGAATATCACAGAGAGACCGGTTGCTGAATTAGTCTCAGTTAGAAACTCAGTATGTTCTCATTGAGATATAAAATTAATACCTGCAAATGAGAACTAACCAGTACATGGAGAAAATGTTCTACGTATCGGGGCTTATTTTGTATACGATATCACTATTTTACAATGAGTATTGAAGCATTCATTGCCTGCTAGTGAAGTACATACTTACCAAAAGTAAAAGTTCGGCAGTTTTTTGCATTCATCTTGTCTTATCTTGTGTGCACAAAAATTCATACTTTGGCCATATCATTCCATATTAGTTGTTTATCGTATTTATCTTTGATACTCAAAATGAGATGAATTTATATATTTTATATAAACTATACTTCGTTAAAGAAATGGGGTGATCGTAAATGATATATAATAAAAGCAGCTGTAAGTCTTTGATATAAGATAAACTTGGAAGACCAATCACATTATATCGAATATACTTACATAATTTACCTCCTCGAAGTTTTTCAACAATTCTGTTATTTCTTCCTTATCTAAATCGATTTTGCGCAGGTACATGGTTTGTTTTCGAATTATTCCTTTGTAAGAAGGATCCGCCAGATCTACTAAAGCATTCTCTAATTCAGTCCATGCTGTATTCAAGGCAGTCAATGGGAGGCAGTTCATTGAATGAGCATGACAAATCTGACTTCTTTTAGTTGTAATTATATCCAATGCAGTGTTCTCATTTTGGGATAAATTCGCCAGATTCCGAAGAAGAAACGATAGTACACTAATATTAAGTTCGTGAATCGAAATATTTCGTTTGATATATTTGTGGAGACACACTTGTACAACATTCCTGTTATTACGGACAATATGTCCCCTATCTTCAGGACCATTATCACCATAAATCTTTTTAAATATCCAATTATCCATGCGACTCATTCGTTTAAGGTTGCAACCTGATGTCGGACATTCACAACATAATAACTTCTGAGATTGCCAGAGATGAATTATTTCATGTTTTTTGTCATCAAGAAGTAATTGAAAATTTCCGTTACATGTTGGTAAAAGTTTATATTTGGCAAAGGCAGTGAGAACGTCAGTGCCTGTGTCAACGACACATTTGAATAATCGTAACAATTCCTGTGCCTTGCGAGTGTTGGTACTCATTACAGTGGAGTATTAGCATATGTTTTCCATAATATGGTGTACTAATATCTCTTATTTAAGGTAAATATAATTAAAGATAAATTATTCTATTCCAGTGTGACACATTAAATTTGAATGCTTCCATTTTTTATCAAGTAAATGTTCTTTAATTGCAAGAGAAGTCTTCCTTTCTAATAATTGTTAGATACTTACATTCTGTAATATTTTGATGAAAAAGAATGTCTTCTATCCCTGAATTCATAAAATTTGCTGCAAAAACAAGTCGAAAATCAGCAGTCAGTAGAACCTTTCATACAAACAACAAAGACAGTTCCTTTCTATGATTGCAATTACCACTGGTAATATATATTCACCCATCAGCTAATATTTTCCAACGTTTCTAGCTATAAAACCAGGTTAAAGCCATCAATTTATTCGGAAAATGCCTGTACCAAGTCAGCAGTATGACAGCTGTTTTCCATTTGTTCTGTAGGTTGATGCAGTCTAACGTTTGATTTTGTCAGTTTTAATTTTGTATAGGCTTCCCCTCTGTAAATCTACAAAGGAAGTCCGTATTTTTTATATACTTTTATACGCAAAACAAATACCTGTTTAATAAAAACAAAAAAGACGTGCACGACTATACAGGGAAGTTTATTCAAAATAGATTTTGTATGTAGTCCATTGTATAGTGAATAGACCGATAAATATTACATTTAAATTGCAAAACCTTCATTGTGAAATATTAAATTTCCTTCTTTTATTCAATTTGAAATACCTTAAAGGAAAGCATGAATTTTATAAGATAAGATCGATGAAGATAGCAAAACTAATAAAATGCATTTTGCTGTCATTCCGGAAAATGTTAATTTAAATTTTTTTTATATATATATTTCAACATATAGTGTCTGTGCTATGACAATTATCTTCTATATTTATATTCTATTCTTGTTTGAAATAATGTTGTATCTGCTTACCCTACTGGAGCACACGAGATCATCTCCAGTTTGTAGTTGGTTCGTTTTGTGCTCAGTCTTTAGTTTTTTATGTGTGTTGTGTGTACTGTTGTTTGTCTTTTGGTCTTTTCTTTTTTTTTTGCCACGGCGTTGTCAGTTTAGATTCGACTTATGCATTTAAATATCGCTCAGGTACCTTTCGCCACTCTTTTGTAAATTTGTTTCGGCCTAATTTAACAAGAATGTTTATCTCTAGTTTAACAATAAACTCAACAACGTGGTATAAACCTAAAGTTGATCCAATGTAGGTATAGTCGAACAAGTCTTATCATTTTTTTTTATTTTATCATTAAGCAAACTAAGCATTTAATATGAAATATTCATTGACGATTTTGTCAGTAGGATCGTTGGTTTGATTGATTAGTTTTATTTTGTTTTTTCGTTGATATTTTTTGCACGTTCTAAACAGGCAAATTTGAGTAATGATTTGCCTACACGGGTTAATTCAGACTGTAGATAGTTCTGATCTTTTAACAATATGTTTTATATGTGCCATCATTCTCGAGCCGTAAATGACTAGTTTCCTTTACTGCTTGACAATTTTTTTGTTAGTAGATTAGTTCTTTTAGCCTGCTTTCAAAACAATAAATGCTGAGCACATACTGATATTTTATTACTTGTGACGTTTTAATTATAACGTTCTTTAATGTATTTGTTATTCTGATTTATACTTAAAATTATAGAGAACTTGCTTTTTTGAGTGCTTAAAATGACATTTTTCTTTAAGGATTTTATTTCATTAAATGCTTTCAAATTCATGGTTGCCTTAAATGAATTGACGTTGTTTAACAATAAGAAATAATATGGAGTAACAAAACTCTGTATATGAATGTGTTAACACTTTTGGGACAAAAGAAACATATATAACAAACAACACTCACTTTGTTACGTGTAAAATTGATATTATTGATATTAGTTTTAATGGAGCCTTCACGTTTTGGTTGATCGTTATGAAATATCCGGGTCACAGATGAAACACCATCTTATTAAAATCAGTTTTCCCCTCTTTCTCCTCATTTTAATTCAGTTGCTCTTATGTAGCGACGTATAAACAACCGAGGAAAAATTAA